GCAAGGCAAGGCAAGGCAAGGCAAGGCAAGGCAAGGCAAGGCAAGGCAAGGCAGGCAAGCCAGCAAGCCAGCAAGCCAGCCAGCCAGCCAGCCAGCCAGCAAGCCAGCAAGCCAGCAAGCCAGCAAGCCAGCAAGCCAGCAAGCCAGCAAGCCATCAAGCCAACAAGCCAGCCAGCCAGCCAGGCAGCCAGGCAGCCAGGCAGCCAGGCAGCCAGCAAGCAAGCCAGCCAGCCAGAGCAAAAGGCAAATCCAGGCCAGGCCAGCCAGCAAGCCAGCAAGCCAGCCAGAGCAAAAGGCAAGGCCAGGCCAGGCCAGGCAGGCCAGGCGGTCAGGCAGGCAAGGCAGGCAAGGCAGCCAGGCAGGCAATCAAGGCAAGCAACGCAAGCAAGGCAAGCAAGCAAACAAACAACGAACAAAACAAACAAACAATAACAATAATAACAATAACAAACTATAACAAACAACTATAACAAAGAAGGACAAACAAAACAACACACAAGCAAACAATAACAAACAAACAAGAAAACAAAACAACATAACATATAAAAACACATCTCAAACCCACCAAGGAAAATGTTACAACAATTTTGGCTATGTATTAAGCAAAAACATAGACCAACACCACATGGATCTAGCTGAGACTTTGTGTTCCGCACGCCTTACGAAACCACATGGAACTCACCCCGCCGCCCTGGTCTACTCTCGCGCCCCCCGGGGCGCTGACCATCACCATCCTGGCGTCACCGTGTGCCAAAACACCGGGTGCATGGGCACATGCCCCCCAAACACAGCTGGATCTTGGTCGTTTTGGGGGGGCAAGCACTGCAAACACTCTCCCTCTCTCTCGAGGCTCTCTTCCTCCTTTTGAGAGTTAGGACAACTGAACATCGACTGAAGCCGACTGACTCTGGTCTTGGAATTGCCACCTATGCACCAGGGTTTGACTCAATAACTTGGGAACGTCGCGCATTCCTTGACTTCCACAATGCTTCCTTGGCTCCCCCATCCGTGGCGTCGGCAAGGGACAAGCCAAGACAAGCCAGGTCGGAAGCCGTTTCCCGTTTGCTCCTGAAATGAGCATGATCAAAGTATTTATTGGCAACCTTTCTTATCTTGTAAAGTTCTGCAGGGCAGGGCTTCACATTTCTTGGAACTCGGAAAACCTCCAAAAAATCACACAACACCTGCACCCTTCTCAGTGCTTCAGCCAAGTCCACACTTGTGGCCATGAGTTCACAGCACCGTTTCCACCAGCTCAAGAGAGCGAAAATGAACAATGAACACCTGATGGTCAGTAGTTATGCTATATAATCTTGTTGTATCCAACCATTTTGGGCTCTCTCTTTGTGTAGTACCCAAGTTATTGATTCCCACTGCCAAGAAAGCTTAGAGACACCGCTGCCCAGTTGCCTGTGCGAATCCAGTGCTTCTGGTGGAGCTGGTCGGTGCTTCCAACATACATCACCCATTGTATTTTGGAACGAAAGACTGAGCCCGTCGATTCCGCCTGGTTCTGTCTCGGCAGCTGCTGGTATTGCTGCGCGGCCTCAAACAAGGTGGCGATTTGACTTAGGACCCTAAAACTATATATTATAGTTTCTTTCGCTCAAAGGTTCTTAGATGGCAACTACAAATAATGTTTGGATTACTAAGCGACTATGTTACTAAGTGGAGGGATTGTCAAAATTGTGATTGAAAGGAGATCGGAGTTTTAGACAATAAGAACGATATTCCTAGAGAGAGATACCAGGATTCCAGCCTGCCTACCCCGCAACTAACTCAACGTACTCTTTTGGATCTTGGAGGCTAGATGACGCTTTGTGACATCTGGTTTCCTGGACAGCTTCCTAGTCAAAAAGCCATCCCCCTGCCGTGAACATGTGGGCAAACAAAAATAGAACAAGTAACGTCTTTATAATGAAAGAAAACGGAAGAAATGATTCGCCAAAAGAAACACACATAGGATGTTTGCTCGTCATACTTTGTCCAGTTGCAGTGTCTACTCAGTTGAGAGCTTCCAATCGGTCTGTCAACATCAACACTGCAACCCTGCCGTCGGTGAAGCCGTTGACCGCCACCGCCTGCCTTGCTTTGAAATGCAGAGCGGAAATTCTGGTGGCCGCCCCCTGCGAAGCGGACAACCCGGTGCCGGCCGGCGATTTCACTTTGCAAACGGAAAAGCAACAAACACAAACACATAAAATGAGAAAAAAAACATAACGTTTAAAACAAATCATTGAACAAAAAACACTCTTATTCTCAGGCTTTATCTATCTACAACATACTCCTGGGCACTCTGTTCACTTCTGAGACTTCTTGGATCACTGTGGGATCAGTCTCTCCAAAGCGATGGTCAAATGTGCCCTCCTCAGACCTTCGGGGGACGTGCTAATCCATCCGAAGTTGACCCTCAAAATCTGAGACATAGCTGGCCACTGAAAATGAACGGAACATAGACTACGGAACATGGTCAACCTACCAGGGTTTGGAGCTTTTCACCCACCGCCACATGAAAAGCACTATTGTTCGTATTGGTTTTTGGATGCCTTTTTTGACTTTGATGCTCTCCGTGGTCTGAGACCGCGAGGTCATAGGGTCTTTGGAGGACCCCAAAAAGGAAGGAAATGTCCTTGACGTTGGGCGCTGCCCAAACGATTGGACTTCTAGGGCAGCTACGACATATGTCATCAGTGCCTGCAGGCATAGCGATCACGCGTGCAGGCATAGCCTATGCCTACTGTAGACATCTGTGATCACGCTAGTTTGCCTACTGTCTGCCTACTGTAGACCCTGGATCACACAATCATATCCCCCCGAAACACATGGACTGTAGAACCTCTTCTACCGTGCTAAGGGGGGTTGCAAGATGATGATGATGATGATGATGAAATTTACCATAAACATGGTTTAAGAATCATCACCTCGTGATCATGCAAAGAACCATTTGGAAAACGGTTCCACTTCCAAAATATAACAATATTGGTTTTAATTGTCCGATTCTATCGTGAACCATTCGGTGACCTGGACAACTCCGAGAGAACCCACCGCTGCGGATCCACCGAGTTGTTAGGGGATTCACCGCTGGATCGCTTTTCGTGACGACGAACGTGCGACGCCCGACACGGTGCGACACGGGTGGCATCGACTTCTGGCACCAAGGCAAGTGGTGGCATCATGTCATGCCATATTCATGCATATTCATGCTGAACTATGTCCTCTACATCCCCAACATCAAGGTGGATTTTGTGACATCTCTTCTCCAATATTGGACTGAGTCCTGGCATATCTGAGCTTCTTCGCATTCGTAGGTCTGTCCCGCAAATGTGCTGTGTCGTCACGCCACAGAGGACCCATCTCGATTGCTGAAAGAATCACAGTGCATGGGGAAGGATGACCCTGAAATCCGAACACCCAACAGGTGGCTCTTTTTCCATCTTTTTCCACTTCCGTGATGAATTCAGCACTTTCGCCTTTTCCACCCTTTCCATGACTTCCTCCAGCACCCCCAGCACCCCGACTTCCTTTTTGGTGCCACCCAATTCCACCACAGCCGTCCGCACCTACGCCTTCGCCCGTCGATGTAGTGGGCATCGCAGCGCACAGGACACCGCGTTGGACACCGCGCTGCTCAAGGAGGGTGTTGGTGGTATGTGGAATTGGGGTGGAAGGCCATTCCCAATTCCAAGGGACCACAACAAAAAGACCCAACAATACTTGGGGATCCTTGGGGTTTTAGTTTGACCTGACAATTAGGAGCACCACACAAAGCGGTGTTAAAGTCTGGGAGGGTGGTACTTTGGTTTGGTTCGGGGTCGAGTGGGAGGCGTGGGCGGCTATGGGCCCGTTGGACTGAGACTTCGTGGGAGGCGTGGGAGGCAGTTTTGCTCAGACAGGTGGCATACCATTCTAGACATGACGAGCGCCCGAACAGGACCAGCGACTGTGCGAAATCACTGGCATGAAAACCAGTATCCGGTCTACCGGCGACCAGTTGCGACGGTCGGCCGGGCTACCCCCATATTCAAGTGCAGGGCTGAGCTGAGCAGGCAAAACACTGACGTTGACACTCGGGTGAGCCAAGTGCCGGCGCGAGCGGACGCCCTGACGAGCGAGTGGCTCTTGGACCTGATGGGTACCTTGGAAACGATAGAGGGGTCAGTTAAGTACCATATAAGTATACAACGTTATATATACTGTAAAAATATTATATATATATATACTATTTTATATAATACCATATAATAATATATCATTATCATACATTTTGACATACATGGGTTGTAGACTTGGGGGGGCAATATATCCATCCCATTGATCAACCAACCCATAAGGAACATGTCATCTATGCACGAGGTGGCCGCCTATGGCCACCTAAGGCCATGGCTCCAAGCTTGGAGCCACATCCAGCCACGGCCCATAGTGATGTTTGCTTCAGGGATCGTGCTCTGTCCCCTAGACTCTAGCAAGCTTAGGCCGATCCCAGCATAATTAGCAATAATTAGACTGGGCAAATCTCTACAGTGCGCCTGCTTTCTAATTTAGCTGCAACCAGCAGCCTTCCAAAAAACACTACCAAAGCCCCTAGCGTCTTCTTGGGTTGGGATCCCAGATTCTCAGTGTGACCGAGAGAAATTCCCCCGAGCTCCAACGCATCTCGGATTCACGCACACCAGGGAATTATTGTTTTATGCAAAACAACATCGGTTTTGGACCCCAAACACTCCTGGACAATCGTATGCAGGGATCGGTCACACACATGACATCTGCTCTGATTCAAAAAAGAACATGCTTTGGATCTTGGTCTTCTACCACGGCAACTAACTCCTTTTACAATGGTGAAGTATATGATGAATAACTTGTAATGATTGGATTGATGGGTCCTGGCATGGGATCAACAGTCCACAGCTGCATTCTGCTTGTTCATGGAACAACTGCATGAAGCTCCAATATATCCACTCATTGCTCCCTGGACCCCTTTGGACCCCTCTCCTGATCCAAAGCATCCTTGGCAATGCCCGGTGGCGTCCGCATGCACTGCCAATGGCTCGCAAAGAGCAGCAGCACGATGCAGTTGTACCTGCAAACCGTGGAGGTACGCCGGAGATCAGGGTCCCTGAAGGTTTTTGTCCAATCTTGAGTAATCCCCGCCAAACCATCCAAGCGGTGTCCATTTTACACCAAATTCGTTGTTTTATGTATGTCTATGTGTTTTGTTGGTCCGTAGATTCCCGATGTGCCTAGCTGGTTGGACGCAATCCCTTGGCAAAATGAAGACGACCCTGCCAATCCAGTGGTTTTCAACGAAGAAGGGCAGCTTGGAACGGCAGGCTGGTTCTTTTGGAACCCTCCGCGTCGACCTACTCGGGCCCGACCGCACTGCGGACGTTCGAGTCCGCCTTCCGCGCGGAACGACACGGACACGTGCAGCGTTCGGGCTGCGCACGGCACAGCAAGCAGCCAGGAAAGCTCAGGAAGGGCAATATAGTTCACCTTGGAAGTTGTGAGTTGTGTGACCAATCAAATGCCAATCCTATGTCAAGCTCAGACCAATTGATTCAATCAGGTCAATCGATTGATCGAAGGGGGGTCTAGACTCATATACCTCAACACACTCTCACATCCTTACGCTCTCTATATATATATATATATATGATGTACGATCACAAAATCCTTTTGGATCATGTTTGAAACATGGTATTCAACAAAGAGTCTTGGTATGGCTATTCTCTGGATGGACACATTAAGATCCACGAAGCAATGAAACCAAACCCAAGACCCTCACCTCCAAGGCATGTGTATTTTCACTGCTCTATGGTGACTGTGGTCTAGACTTAGTGGAGAGGAGAGTAGGTGGCACAATCCCCACAAAGGTGATTCCATGTGGACATCGTGCTTGTTGTGCCATGTTGTGCCATTTGGTGCCATCGAATGCGGTTAGCAGGAAAACAAAACAAAACCAAGTCATTGCGGCAAACGTAAAGGCCCAAAATTTCGCCCAGAAACGGCCAAAGAAATCCACAGAGTGCTGCTGTACATGACGCTCGTGCAAAAGATCCTCGGCGGGGCGGTTCAAAGCACCGAGCAAGCGAAGTGTGAGCGCTCGCACCTGGTTTTGAACCACTGCCTAGTGGATTACCCATGAAAACCCAAGATTTCTGGACCAAAGAAACAATCTACCCAAAGGACCCAAGGATTTGGAAGTTGCAAGGCGTTGAAGTTCTCAGCGCTAAGCACATCACTTCCTCGCAGTAACTTGGAATGGGTAGGTAAAGTGGCTTCTGTGGATCTCTCACTTTTGTCAACCCAGTGCCTATGTGGCTCTTTCCTCTCCGTTTTGGCCCTGAGCCGTAATTCGGGAAATGCCCCTGACTGTGAGGTTGCTTCTCTTCACACATATCACTTGGATTGGCCAATGCTGCATCGTTGTACCCCGAAGGCGTGGCGTGCATGGCGTGCATCACCCGGTGGGTGTGATGCACGAGGGTTCGATCTGAAACACGATGGTGTACACATGTGCACACATTCCCGTTGAGAAACCTAAGTAATTTATACCAGGACCGTGCAAAAGGTCAGTGGAGACCAGTCAGGGCCCAACAACCCTCAACAACCAAGGCGGTTGGAGGATACTGGCATAGATCTGAATCCCATCCCGACAAAAAAACAGGCAATGTATAGACTCTTAGACGGTTGACAATAATTTCATGTCTGCGGGTGTTTTGACTCATCAAGAGTCTATATTCCACAAAAAGTGTGCCTCACTGTGTCTCGATGTGCTCCGCCAACCGCAGACCTTCCTGGAACATCATCTAAGGACCCAGGCCCCCATAGATCGCGAGCTGGCCTGACCGGTCCCCAAGCCGAGTGCAGATCCAGAATTCAGTTTGGGTATATATGTCAGTCTATGGCTGTGGCGGCACCAGACTGACCGGGCACGACCGCGACAGGGGTCGGTCCTTCGCATCCGGGCGAACATGCTTGAACGACCCCCATACATCCCGTGAGGACCCGGTGGATGAGGATGGGTTGCAGGGCTTTCCATCTCAAACCAACGGCTACTAAAGTGGTCTACTGGGCGTGTCGCCCGGCCGCCCTAAAAACCATCCTAAACCCAGAGCAAGGCACTTCGTTTTAAAAGCAACATGGATGGTTCCGACCCTCTAAAAATCGAGCTTTGAGCCAGGTGAGGTGCAGCGTTCGGGAGCGGGAAGAAGAAGATGGGGATGGGAGCTCCAACCTGGAGCTCCAAACCTTGGTAGGTTGACCTGGCTGGTAGGGTACCCATCAATACGATGAAGGGCCTTTGGGAAGCGTTCTGGATCGATGCGGTGACCAGAAGACGGTAGGTCAACCAAGGTCTCCTGGTTTTAATCCACAGCTTATATTAATTTGGGCCATCTATCTGGGGCAAATGCATGTAACTCTTCATGCCAGTCCCGCATGGATTCTGGGAATGAACACAAGCATGGCACGCCTGCTTACGCGCGATGCGTATACGCCTTTGAATCCCTTCGGATCCACTTGTCCAGTCCTTCGGAGTGCTCGGTCCGGGATCGACCCCAAATGAGAATGACCGCATGGACCACATGCACCCCCTGTCACCCTGTCAGCATCCATGACTGCACTGAAGAAGAAAAACAGCACTGAACATTGGGTCACCTGTCAATACATGCACAAACACACACACACACACACCCTGACATCCCCAGGAACCCACCCTTTCTCCCTCGTTCCCCCGGAACCCAGCCTCTCCTCACTCATCAAGTCTCGGGAGATTCCCGGCGGGGATCACGCTCTTTGCTTCAGCAAATCACACGTTTCCCGGTTTCCAAACTTCTCGATATTCAGTTGTCTGTGTTAAAAAATGATGGCAAATATCTGCTCTGTTCTGCGTGCAACACACATTCGTGCTGGTTGGTCAGGATGGTCGGTACCTCTCGGTTCTCGGGATTTTGGTACCTGATTTTTGGAGTCCAAATGACCCCATTTGAGAGAGAAGGATCCAATCTGTGAGCTCTTCAACTCAGAAAATGTTGCTTTCGACATCTTTGGAGGCCGACATCTTTGCCTTTTAGGGGTATCTTTAGAGGCGTCCATATGGCCTGATGTTAGTTCAAGTCTTTGAACAGTTGACACTGCAGTGTTTGATACATGGGTTCCATTCTGGCACAAGGATAAGGAAGTGGCCGAAGACACAGCCGCACTAGTTGCGACTGGGCCTGGTAGGAGGTTGATTACCTCCTTGGGTGTTCGCTGCGGAGTGAAGACTAGCAGTTACACCATTTCCGTCATTCAGCTGATTTGGAGTATCTCAGTGGATCGTCTCGCAATGGATCTAAATGGATCTCACTTAAGCCTATATAAAATATTATATATAGATTACTAGTATATATATATGGATCTTCCCAGTAACCTTTTGATCCCCCGGCTTGAGGTCACTTAGGTTTGTAAAGAGTCTGGGACTTCACAAAGGTCACTGGGAAGATCCTGGTAGTATATAGCGCTATTAGCAATTGTCCAAATTGATCATATCATTGTCCAAAGGTTCCAACGGTCTGTGAGTCGATAGGCCACTTTCGCCACTGCGTTGAACAAGGACCTAAGGACTGGGCCACTGGGTTTTCCATTGGAAAGTCGGAGCAAACTTCCCAAACCAAACGTGGCCGATGAGGGTCTTCATCACATGAACTTCTCAATCCTCAGCTTCTTTGGAGTGTTTTGGAACCGGGTTTCGCGAACCAGTTTGGCATAGTATGGCGACATATGGAATGAAGGGCACTCACCAGAAAGTGTGCAACTCTGTTTTATCTTTACAACCATTGGTTGCTGACCTACAGCCTCTAGTGTTCAACAACTTGGGATACAAGCATGAAAAGACACAAACATATACACCATATATATATAGTATAGCATCCAAGCACCAACCAGTTCAGGTGGTTCATAGAGTCTCCTACTTTTTGTTTACCATGTATGAACCATCCAAGCCGGAGGTGCTGGCACATGAATTCGTAACATCTTCTGATTTTTGCCGGGCGTGTACATTCTCAGGAGAACCTGTCTGTGGTCACACTTCTATACGGCTCTGTGGTCACACCAAACAATGTCCTCTGAGCCCACGTCACCAGCCCATCGGAGCCGTCAAAAGAACAGACTGGCCTGGTGAACATATCGCTAGAACATCCCAAACGCTAGGGATCCAAGTACCTTCTCAGAAGGTACTTGGACCCTCCACACCTACATAACAGTGTCTCCAATCACCTTCTGAGAAGGTACGACTGGATCCCTAGCAAAAGCACAGGATCTGTGGATTTACCAACCCTTTGGGAAGCATTGGAGCCGATGCCATGAGGGTCCAGGGTCCAGTCATGCCTTCTGTACTTAGAGCCCTTGCATCTGGGGGGAGCGCACCCCCCACCACAGCGGGGACAAATCCTATCATTATATATATATATAAATACACCTGTTTCTGCCCGAAATCTTTCATCCAAAGGTTGTTTTCTGGATTCTTCATCTTCTCCAAACAGTTCGGAACTTCCAAATCTTGGAGATCTGCATCGACTGGGATGATCTGGTCAGATGCTGCTCGGACTGGCAGCCACAAAGTAAGCACCGAACATGGCATCACTCCCGAAAACTCAAATGGGTGTAGGTCGAGTTCTCTCACCACGAAAGAAGGGAAGGTTCATATCACATCCCAGAAAAAAAACCTCTAGGGGGCTAATAATGGACACCCCTTTTGGGGTGCTGGAAGGAATCTGTTCATTTGACCCGGGGTCCAGAAGGGTTACACGCTTTTGACCCACCAAATCAATCCATTGCTCCGGCACCACCAGTTCACTCACCACACACGCACCGCGGGCGTTGCCTTTTTTCGGAGAATGGCAGGGTCCGGCAGCTCTCGGAAACTGAGCAGTAGCACGCGGCTGTGGGTTCATATGGCACTCGGACACCGGTTGACCGGGTTCGAGTCAGAAGAAATCCTTAGGGGCCAGGGATATCCAATTCCCTATGGTTTGGGTGCATGGTTGGGTGTTTTGTATGGCCGTGGATTCTATGTTGAACATTCACCACCCCTCCCCATCTAGAAGGATTAGGTCTGCATTTCTTGGGACATGACTTGGCGTTGACATTTTTGTTGGGATCAATGGACCCCTCACGCACCCTCCAGGGTCGATAACGAGAAAAAGGCATCCTCCTGACCCGCATGACGCTCATGAGCTCAAGACAATTGCCTGCACTGTGTAACTAACATGGACCCTGAAAACCACTGGTGCAGCTAGAGGAAAACAGCCAGACTCAGGGTGCCATTCGACCCGGTTCCATGTAGTTGTCGGGAGTGTAGATGGCACTGGCACCCCAAGAGGTCTTTTTAGATGGGGGGGTTCCATACAAACCACCGAACTTGGACATTTGTGCCATCTACCCTGAAACCACTGTATATCATGGAGCCCGGGTATCCTATTGAATTCTAGCACTGTCCTGTCTCATAACTCACAACTGCGCTCTTCTTCTATGTGTCGCATATTACATCGCTATATATTACGTATTTATATGATGTTTGGCCTTTGTGGGAAGGCTGTGACACAGAACATTCTTCTAACTGATATGCACATCTCTTCCAGTTGTCCAGTTGCCCTTTAAGATGGTGAAGGAAGACCTTGCGCTTCTGCCCTGCTCTGCTGCCTGTCTGGCACTGCCGGCCTCCGTCAAAACGCCACCGGTGTGGTGGCGTCAAAACCGCTGATCCTCAAGGCTTGCCGTCAGCCCCCGGGAACCCAACCCGAAGCCACGAACCAACCGAACCCCGGAACTGAACCCACGAACTGAACCCCTCCAACAAGCTGGAACCCGCGGGTTTTGGGGCTCAAAACACTGCTTGAACCCCTCCTGAGTCGACCAGAGGTCGGGTCAAATTGGGATTGGACAGTCCAACCTCCCAACCTGAGGCTGGAAAGGGTGCACCTCTTTCATCAAAAGCTACTTTGGAAAAGGGTTTTCCAAAAGCTACCTCTTCAGTAACTTACAGCTTTTGGAAAAGGGTCAGGTTTCTTAATGTCCAAAAGAGACGACTTACTTCGATGTGAGAATGTGAAAGACGAAACCAACCACGCCAGGTGGGACGTGCGTAAAAAAGACGCGCTGTGCGGGTGATGTTCCGCTGGCCCAGAGCGGGAGCTCTCGCTCGATCAAACGGGGTTGAAGTGACTGGCCAAGGATTGCAGGTCGGAAGTGGAGTGAATTCCGGAGAGTCAAAGAGCCCAGGATTCTAAGTGGACTGTATCCTCTTCCGGAGAGTGGAGCGTCATTGATAATCGGTTCTTTTCAGAATCATCCACCATCTCTTCAAGAAAGGATATAAGACAGGTATGCGAAGACGGGTTCCAAGCAACTCCAAAGGTATGGTGTGGAAACTCCATGGGATGGCCATTTTTTGGCCCATCAGTTGGTTCCTCCAAACTACAGCCAATGGGCACTCCTGGCCTCCACAACAATTACTAACTTAAATATCTCAGAATGTTTCACATCCAGCCTCATTCAACCATACTATCGAGCATCCCGGCCCCATCCAAATCGGATGGACCCTCTGCATTAAGGAAAAGGCTGGGAACTTCATGCGGAAGAACCAAGAACCTCCGCGGCCTAAAGAGGCTGTGTTCACGGTGTCCTTTTCTGGCTCTGGATCAAGGCCACGTTGCTTGAACGTGCACCGCACGAAAGACCGACGAACCTGGCTTGTAATTAGCTGTATTGGGTTTTATCGCTTGCAGGATACATGTTGGAAACATGGCATGAAACACATCCAGAGGACAAAAATAAAGGAAGCCATGCTTTTGATATTTCCAGGAGGAATCGACAACCATTGAAATCAATCAGGGAAACCTCAAACACCCTTAATGTCACTTGATTAACTAAAGAGCCTTCTGTAATGAACAGGAACATCGTCTTCTGTAGGGTGATTTTCCGTATGCATGCTTGCTTCCCGGAAGCAAATTGACAATTATCTGTTGCCCACAATTATCTGTTCCCCCGCAAGAGGAACTGCCGAAGATTGCAACAACTTTTTCCTCGTGCCCCCATATCGGAATAATGGTGAACATATATATATATATATAAACTATAATATGATAACTAAAACCCAGGAAGAAAGCGAACATGAAGGAAGTCCTACCATTGCACCATCATACAATAGTCTTGCATTATGTCATGTAGTCTTCACAAACACAGCAGTGGATTGGACACATCGGAAGTGAACACAGCTTCATCATCGCTTCATCATCCTCTTCCGCAGGACCGTGAAGGCACCCCCCAGGAGTCAAACGTTGAACAGGCACTGACTTGATCTCACAAAATGTTCACCCCCTCAGTTTCCCTGGAAAAATACAGGTTCACATGTTTCCCGGACATGAATTCCCCAACAAGGTTTTTGCAGGTAGGGATCGGCCCAGAAAAAACAAATCCCAATGAACATGTCATGTCATCTGCAATGTGTGTTTCAACTATGATCAGTCAGTCAGTCTCTTTGTTCCTTCCTTCTTTCCCACATCATTCTCGATCGAGATCTCCGGAGGTGGGGCCGCATGCACATCTCACGATCCACATCCCTTCTCTGGATATGAGGCCCGAGCCATGGGACGCCGACTCATGACTCAGGACCAATATGACCAATCGGTTTGAAAGGATTCCGAAGTCGGTGGGCCTTGTGCCTGGGCGGCACCAAACACCCGTCGTCTCAGACCCGCTGTTTTTGCGCTTTCACTCCGCTCCGAACACATGCGAACGACCCAGCAGGTGAAAGAGACGTGACCTGGAGTTCCTTCACAGTCCCTTCAAACAATCAGCCGGTCGTTTTTCTTCGAAAAAATATCAAGCAACTCATCCACCGGATCGCTCCAGTGCGAGGAAAAAGACATGGAAAAGAACCTCCAAGCACGGAAAAGGGATCCTCTCACTTCGTCGTCAAGAGTAAGCCCAGAAGGAGACAATATCTGAATCCCCTCCAAAACAGATAGAGTCATAGGGGTGCGTCCTTAAAGAGGGAGACCAACACCCACTGATCTCATGAGTGGGAAGTTCCCCTGCTCTGAAATAAACCCATCTCACAGGTGGTCCACTTTGAAGCACGATTCCAAATGAACCATTCATCTCCCAGATTGCTTACAATTTTACTAACAAGAACTATGCACGTGACGGTGACTGTCTCCAGCAGTTCTGCACAAGTTGTATATATTATATACATGATGCATCATGATGCTGTATATAGGTCTGAGACCTCGCTGCCTCTGGATACCCTCCAAACTGAAACCTGGTGGTGGCCAAAACACTTGAGACACATCCCTCCCGTGATGGAGCAAAACACTTGAGACACGTGCTTACCCGCTGCACTCACCTCCCAGGCAAAGCGAGCCGGTCGCGATTCTCGATGTATGCTGGAAAGCACAGGTGGATCTGGGACATGACAGCCGCTATGAGCAACATCTCGAGAGCCAAGCTCGGGGTTCTACAGATTTCACGCTGAAAAGATGCCCCAGCTTCGGTTCCAAAGAGGTGCCAATGTCTTGTTTCTCTTCTTGTTCGGTCCTTCAGTGGGTCCTAACATGCACATCCAGCGATATATCAAAGCACCATCAATCAATATGATTACGTACCCAACTTATTGCCAGATATCACAAAACATATCAATCCAGCAATATATCCTCGTGGTTCTCCAAGCCCTCATCCTCATCCTGGTGGTTATATAAATCCAGAATATGCCTAGTGCCTGAATATGTGATTGGTTGCACAAACATCATATCCCATTGGGGGAATGATTTGTGCCTCCCGTCACTATAAAGCTCACTGTGACTCCCCTGGATCATGAAAACGGGCGCATCCGTTCGTTCTTGGAAGCGCGGTCGTTCTTGAAAGCCATCAAACAGGGATGTGCGAAACCTTGGTAGAACATGGAGTTTCAAGTTTGGCTTGACACATTTCAGTTTCAAGATCTGGAGCTGTCGTTCATGATGTTGATCTTGAAAAAAAAAGCCAGACTCCATCAAGCAGGGAACAAAGCTCAAAAGGTCTCTCAATCAGTGAGTTTGTCAGCCGTGAGCTGTTCTGTGGAAGAGGATTCTTTTCAGGCAACGGGACCGCTGTATTTGGGGCTATAGGATGGGTTAAAACAACAATGCCACGGCGACTTGCATGTTTCAGTCCATTCTTTCTTGTCTGCACTGATTGCTGCCCCGTACTATTTGGTAGCCAAAGCATAAGCCTGCGCCCAAAAATGCAAACCTCAGTATTGAGCCATACATGGCCACTGAAAGTAGCCACGAACATGTCGAGCTGCCTCGTCTGCCCCACTCGAGTCCCACCCCGGTGGCCTCACGTCTCGGTGTCGTCTGTGATGTCTGTGCCTCAAGCTGCATCGCTTCTTCCAGGGTTCTCAGTGGTGTTGCAAAGCCATATATGTTGCTGAGGTCGGAAAACCACATTATAGCAAGCTAGAACCTGAGCGAACCTGAAGATCAACTATATGCAAAAGATGCTCTTTTCATCTCTTTTCCTATCAAAAAGGAGGTCATGTGTTGGGTTCGTGTCAGGAGTTGAGTGTCATGGTGGGTCCTCAAAAATCGAGTGTGGCAAACCTATCCTCCAAGAACCATCCCTTCGACGAACTCCAGATGGTAGTTCTTCACAACCAAAAAACACGGCGCCGGTCACTTCAGTCTGTTGACTTAGGCGGGTGGGACATACGTTTGTCACAAACTTTCGCTTTCTCACCTCCGAAGTCTTTGCGTCTTGGCTTTTTCCCAAGAAAATGCCCTCGCCAGCTGCTCCCTTGATCAGGCCCTTCCAATCCGGAACAGACACTCCGGATGACAGTGGGTGACTCTCCCTGGCAACCTTCCCAACCTTCCGACCGCACCGCGGCCGTGGTGGCCATCCTCTTCGCTCCCAGAGTGGCAGGGAGAAGAGTGGTGATTGGAGATACTGTTATGTAGGTTTCGGTCAGTTGTACCGAACCTGAGGTTCCGCTTCTCGTACCTGGATCCCGCTTCTCAAACAGTCCCTGGAACCCGAAGAGAATCGGAGTCATCGAGTCGTACAGCACGGTGACATGGCCCGAGAACCAAAGGCGTCGGAAGGTTGGACATCTTCAGCATCGGATCTGAAGGTGGCCCAGTTTGGTTCTTCTGCAAGGCAGGAGCATCATGAAACAGACATGCCCTAGACATCCAAGATCATCCAAGTACCTCCTCAGAAGGTATGACTGGACCCCCCTGGCACCCACCCCAGTCCCACCGAAACAAAACGGCACCGACTGGAGGTCACCCGAACGGGATGAAGCAAAACGACACCCGGAAAACATCACAGCCCTCTGCTTTGTTCCAAGGTCCCTGGCTGTCTGTCATGTCTACCGGGTAGTTGCTCATCGCGGCCTGGTGACAGGCCGAACCGCACGTCCGTTCCTTCCGGCCGTTCACCTGGAGACCCTGAACCGGATCCACAGATCCACCCGTACCGACCTGGTTCGGTAGATGGATCCATCGCGAAGTGGACCTGGACTGGACCTTACCCGGAACTCGGGGTGTCCCAGGTAGGTAGTATGGGGACCTTCCAGCCAGGTGACCCCGAGTTCCGGAAGGTGGTGGACAAAGAACAAAACTGTTTGCTTTCACTGGGAGCCACCAGTGTGGGAAGAATCCTCTGTCCATCGTTCCTGGTTGCAACTCGATCTGCCTTTAAGCAACGGGATCCCTTTCAACGGCTCAGTGGCTCAGTGATTCCTTTCCAAACTTGGAGCTTTCGGGACGTGTCACTGGGGACTGTCAATGTCTGACCATTCAAACACTCATTGTTGTTCGAAAAAAACGGAGTGGTTTGGACTCTCGGACTCACTCCCTGCAAATATCAATTGTGTTCTCTTGTCTGAATATATAATGCTAGGCTAGAACCCAAACATGACCTCCTTTTTGATAGGAAAAGACCGGATTTGGGATAGTTGATCCTCCAAAACAGTGGTCACTCAGGTTCTGTATATGCGAGTCAAGGTCAGTCTTTTGTTCAACGCACTAGGTACACCTCACACCACACTCATCATTGTTTTTTCGTGCACAACTGACATGCAAATCTTATCTGAAAAGAAGAAACAGTTGCAGAGTCTGCTGCGTGTGCTTTTTCCACTGCTGTGCAAATGACTCTTGAAGTGATGGCTGGGATGTTGCTGGGGAACTTACTGCTTCACCGTGAGACCGTGGCACCCAACGTGTCGTAACTTGGACTCCCGAGCCGTTCCCTGAAAAAAGGTGTCACATATATGGTTACATCACCTGTTTCTACCTGGATTTGAGTGGGGAAACCAAGCCCAACTCACGTTTTACAGGTCTTCCACGCCCGCCCCGAAGACTCCGAAGACCGACTTCTTCGCCCAACCGCCCCGTGCAAAGAGGTGCAACGACCTGAGGAAACCCACGGCCCGAACCTCCAGATTCTGCAGCCTCTTCCGCAGCACGACGTTCTCCAACTTCAATGCCTGGCGAAGACATGTTCTGGTGCTTTGTCAGAACCGGAGGGGAATCTTATGGAATCTTCCACAATCTGAATCTTCCTCAAATTTCTTCGTAGTTCCCCTAACATTGCTTGCTATATCAAAGATGATTTGTTAGTTTGTGTGTTAATTAATGTTTCTCAGTTTCTCATCAACTTGACGGGCGCTGGCGTGTGGATCGAGTGAGTAGCAGGCATCGGCAGTTTCTGTTCTTTTTTACCGACCGCTGTATCCCAAACACGACCTGTCTCGGACTGGATGAGTTGCCTACCGCTATGGATCCACATACTGAACCTGAGAAGGTGAGCAGGGAGACTTTGTATCTAGGCACCAGGAGGGCCCAGTCATACCTTCTAAGAAGGTATATGGATCCATAAATTACACCGATTCCTCAAACCACCCCGATTAGCTGGTTTTCTTCCATGTTTGACCCAGCCATGTCAGACAGCTGTTTTCAAAAAGAACGCCTATAAAAGACCGTCAACGCCCCAAACGCCTGAAAGGGTCGGGTTCTGCACTGCACTGTGCTGCACTGCCCTGTTTAACCCTGGTGAAATGCTCACAAGACTAGTCTGGTCAAACAGGGACACCACTTACACACGACTAATGCTGCTCAAATGGAAGAACACATAGAAAAGAGCAGGAATGTCCTGCTGACCATCAGTACCGCATCGCTACTAGTAAGAAGTGTATTGATGTGCATTGCTACGTTCGTAGCAAGAAGCTAGTAACAAGGGCATCACTACTAGGAGCGACGCTACTTACTACTAGGAGCAAGAAGCTACTAGTAACAAGGGCATGACTACTAGTGACACCTCCACCCAAAACTAGCGCCGCACCTCACCACACACAGCACGGTGCGGGTTTCAGACAACGATGTCCCACCCGGTGTGCCTCTGCCTGTTTCTCCTTGGATTTGCGATGTCGATGTGGTCCCTATTGAATAGAGAACACTGTTTCCAAGTACATAACTCTTCGAACTGAATTGTTGTTCCCCTGAAGGGGACTCAAGGTTTACAGGTGTGGGATTGTGTTTGGATTGGTTTGCATCTATCTTTGGGATTGCTGATCAACAAGGAGTTTCACATAGCCACTACTTTGTAGGTGAACATGTTTCTTAGCTGCACATTTCAAAAAAGAACACTGACTGGAAACTGGAAGAAAGGGTGAACTGGACAACTGACAACTGGACTCCCATTGCTAAGGGACCTCAACATCAACCATAGTTTCATTTTGTCTGAACTCCAGTGAAAACCGAGGCTGCCAGGCCCAGAAATTGACTCGGCTCGACTGTTTCCGAGACCAAACTGCTTTTGGGGCAGCTCGTGAACAAAACACTGTAGGAGACCTGGCCCCGTCAAAGAAAAGCGAAAGGTGCCTCTCAACGGATGCATATCTACATTTAGCCTTCCTGTACTGATACTTAGATCTAGATCTTCCAACTGTGCTAATGTCTGCTTGAACCAGCCAAAAGGCAGAACTCTTGCATAGTTGGAAGATCCAGGTGCACTAGTATAGGCAGTATAGGTCCTACAGGTTGCGTGCGGGTTCAAGACCAGGTATCCATGAAGGTGTACTTGGTCTCCACCTTCGGCTCCACATCCAACGCTCCAAACCTAACGTGTCGGAACGCAAAAAAACAACAAAACAAACACGCACCAAAACTCCAGTCGGGGCTGAACGCGGAAAATGCAGAAGCCCTTTAAACAAAAACACCTGACATCCTTTTTGATAGGAAAAAACAAAACAGGGGTCACTCAGGTTCTAGGCAATTACTGGAAGAGAATCACGCCAAATAGGAATTAGGGTGCGACCTTGCACAGAAGTACTTCTAAAAACAACCAAAAAAGAACACACACACAATCACACACAAAACTTTCCGGTTGCTTCCTTTCACTGTTTTTGCGCCTAGATCCTGACAGATTCGCTGAGACAGCTAAATAGACATTGGCGTGGATGGTAGATGGAGAGGCTCTTCTGTACCTATACCATTCAGTACCTTTGATAGCCACCAATAGACTCGAACAGCCACCGGACAGCCAACGTGGAACAGCGTGGAAGACTGGCAGTCATCGTCTTCCAAAGCATTCCACAGGATTTCATGTTCAGGACCGAGAGCGAAACCTCCTGCAGGCAAGCATTGAAAGAGCTTCGCTTCTGTCCAATCCCTAACACGTTGCAAGGCAATGACCATCTACGTTTGTCTTCTGGCTTTGGGCCATTTTTGTGCCTGCTTTAGTCTCTGAACAGGTAGAGGAGCAGCTGCATCTTGCCCATCAGCTCAAGGTGCACACTCCCGCGGACCGTAGAGCCTTATCCTAAAGGCCGGCTCGGCACCTTCTGGTTCTTCAAGAAGGACTCGGGCGCAGAGCTTTGTCAGAAGCCTTCGGTTCAGTGGCCCGATCGCTCACTGGCCCGACGGTTGGGCCACGGGTCGTTGGCAGTGTGGCTCCGATGGTCTCAGTGTGCATGAAAAGAAGTCCTGGGATCAGCCCCTATGGATCCACTGCCACCTTCCGCACCTCAGGTTCGGTAAGATGCTATCACTGGGCCCAAGACGACGACCTCGCGCCTACATCAATCGTCTCCTTCCTCACTGCACCTCGGGTTAGGTATGTGGATCGAGATTCAGTGCTTCGCAAGCACCACGTTGTCCTCACGTCTTCGATTGCGCTTGGGCACTTGGCCTTGGGCCGCTGCCTTGGCTGCTCCGGCTCCACTACGACGGTGTCACCGTGGTGCGGAATCGAAGTAGAACTGCACACCAACTGAGTTGGCCGTTTCTCTGCAACCCTTTCTCGGTCCCCTTCCGGAGCGCACGACGTTTTGTGGGGGTTGATTGTTCACTTCGGTGGCTGCAGAGCTTTGGTTTGGCACTCTGTTCGAGGGCAACGGTGGGCCTGCACTGTTGTGGGCCACACGACGGTGGGCTTGCGAGGATGGATGTGCGGAGTGGCACCATGTTCACTCGTGATGGCCTGTTGTATGATGGCGCTTTCACACAACAATGAAGCAATAGCTAACCAATCCTAACCAATCCCGTGATAATGCAAAAACTGTCTTGATGCAAATGTTCCAAGTATGTATATATATACCCTAGAAGTCCAAAGACTATTTTAGGCACCACCCAAGTAAAGGAAGCTCTTTTCGGATCACCTAAAGACCGTTTTAAAAATAGTCTTGGACTCCCAGGGTATGTATATACTGTATATATTATTATATATTATATACATATAGATGCCAATTGTTGAGTTGTTATGATTTGTTGCGCAGCAAACGTGGAACATGTGGATAGGACAGTGTATAACGATATTTAACGTAGATACTGCAGATGCACATGTGACTCACTTGTGACGATCCGTTGTGAGCATCGGGCCCAAGAGCTCAATCATGCCGGCTGTGCAAATACCCCCCCTCTGCAAACTCACATTCTGGAACCTGAGAATTGACCTGTGCAAGACCATAGCATGTTCCTCTACAAACCGGGCGTGGATTTGGGCTTCCGTGTGGTCCTCTGCAGGGCGGTCACCGGCGCCAGGTTCTTAAAGGTCACGTCTCCCGCTGCAAAGGACACGTCCCACGCCAAACAAAAGGCAAGAACGACAAAGGTGGTGTTTGGGAGTGTCAATTGAGGTACTTAGAAGTTTTTGCCCCCCCACCCCCCCAAAAAAAACAAAGTATTTTTTTGGGGGATCTATAAATGATCTAAGAATGCACTGGAGAGTTGGGGAGAATCTTAGATCTTTGATCCATGGAGTATTTTATTACTATTATTACATATTATGTTCAATGTTTTTTTGTTGGGAGACTATATAACAACTCTTAAGTACCAGGACCTAAGAATGCACAGCACCTCAAGCAAGCATGAGTCTGCACAACTCTTCTGGGCTAATCACTACAAATATATATATACAGTATATGGTACGCCCCCTTTCAGAAACCATATATGGTACCCCCATGTTCCAAAAAAGAAGTGCATCACATAGGAGATAGGAGTATGGGGGGGGGACCATGTATATGCATGCATGCATGTACGTACGTATATACAATAATCATAGAAATGGAAAATGACCCTGTGGATATCCATTTTACTCTACAAACCTGTGGTTTTCCATGTCCATGTTAGTAACTCGGAGTGTAAGTCAAACATCTGCGAGATGTTGCCGTGTTTACCTGTCAAACACATGCTATGTTTGTTGGTTCTTCCAGAAAGTGGAGATTAAACATTTAAAACATATGTTCGAACGAGAAACACAACTGTTGCCCGCAGTGAATCCAAAAGAAGGATGAATCCAGGGCAGCTGCAAAGCATGGGATTCGGTCAGCCAGGCTCAACCCTGGTCTCGGAGGATTCGGCCGTCTGCAGCTCAGACTGGAGGGAGAGCTGAAGGATGTTTTACCGTACTAAAGTTGGATACATTGTACAGTTTACAAATTATATCAAATTATGCTGTCTTCTTGGGTTGCTACAGTAAAAGAAAACACTTGGATACAGTATACTAGTATACAGTTCGCAACTTATGCCGTATTCTTGGCCAAAGTTTCCAAGTTCATGCCAGCAAGCCATGGGAAAAGACTAAGCGATTGGAACAGTGCTGCAATTGTGGCAAGCGACTTTGTGGCAAGCCACTCTTGCAACATATTGCCACTGACAGTTTTCTGAAGTCATCGACGCTCAGCTGTTGAGCAGCTTTACATTTGTTTAAAGCAGCAAACAATAGCAATAAGACCCCAGTCACTGCCACAGTCAATACAATCCAAACGTGCGGGATGTGGAGTTGGCACGCTACGGTTTCAAGCTGAAACATCGCGAAACAACTGTTTCCATATAGTTTTTCCTACCACAATTACTATCATATGTATCCTACAGAATCATTAGGAGCCAAATCACTTGGTCAACCGAGATCCTGTCGGGGTTGTTCCCTTGGTCCTTCCCCAAGCAAACATGAGCGACTCACGAGCCGTTTCCTTGGAAAATGAAGGTTAATGCATACAGTGGTCCCCAAATAGACAGAAACATGTTTAGTGAGGATCTACTGTTTTTATCTATTTTGGGGTCTATATACAGCAATCAAACTTTTTGAGTGGGGCGTCCCCAATCTAAAGAGCAGGTTTTCCCTGCAGAGGATATCCACTCATTCCCAAAGATTGAGCAGGTTTTCCCTGCCAACCCACTCGGCTTCCCTGCTCAATCTCAATGGGAAACTGGGTATCCTCCTCCTGACCGGTCGCACGTGGTGTTTCGCCCACGATCCATTCATCGCCCACGACGGTGTTTCTGATGTTTCCTCCAAACACCGAGCGATCGCGATGCTCGATGCGATTACCCCTTGAAGTAAAAAACAGAAGACCCAAAGAACATAAGTTGTAATGTTAGTAAGGGGGATTATCCGTGATTCTCCTAACAGGGGTGGATTATCCTAACAGAGGAGTCCCCAACAGCAAGCAAGAGTCTGTGGACACAAAACGAACGGACTTTCTTCCCTGTATTCGTTCATTCATATTGCTTTCTATTCATAGTTGACATCTAGCAATATCGTTTTTGATTCTTGCCTTTGCGTCGAATATAATCAAAGTAATGACTACCTCAATTCAAAGTATAAGTTGTCTCCTAAAACTGGAAGACCCGCAGCCACGATTCTGCCAGGTTCGAGAGAGTCTTGGCATTCAGCAGAAACACTTCACACGCGCCATTGATTCCATTGATGAACTCATCATGTTCTGGTGCTTCAGGCAGGCTCCGAGAAGCCAGGTTCCAGAGAGTTTAAACAACACTGGAACTGCCAGCTGGATTTGTGCTGGTGGTTCCAATGTGCAGCGGTCGGTTCCAGTGGAAGCCTGGCATCAAACCACATCCCCAATCGACCACCCTTCCCTCTCCTCCTTCTCTCGAGCCCGTGGGCTCAGAACAAAGCTGCAGTTGTCCTAGCGAGGATGCATTTCATCTGCATTGTGGGAGATACTCTACGGCTAAAAGATGCTAAAAGCAAAGAGAATTGTAGCGAACCACGAACAGACGACCCACGCAGCTGTCGATCCACTGGTCGAAGTCCAAAAGCCTACAAAAAAGCCCAAGTCAAAGAGCCCATGAAATGCTGGAGTTGATCATATACAAAGACAATAAGGAGGTAAAATAACTTAACTTAAGGATATACTTAAGAACTTAAGGAGGTAAAAGATCAGGTATTACTAAAATACTGATATTACTGTGTCAAGCTGGACTTGTAGGGTTTGCTTGTTCCTTGTTCCAGTCTTTCTCACAGAACCCTGACACTCAGGATGGACTTTTGAGTGGTGAGTGGAACCAGTGCTAGATCCATGAATGCATCATCCATATCTGTGCAGGTGAGACATTCCCCCCGTGTTGGGAGTCCTTTGAAGTGGATGGATCTCATTTGTCAGCCTTCTTTCTCCTACAGTCATGTCAACTAGAATTTTGTTGGTCATATATCATATTAGTAGGTCATATTGAAGTAGTCATCCTTTCTGAGCAGTGTGCCATTGTTTGACGAAACAGAATGTCCGCCCGTCGCGGGGGCCGTTTCTTTTTTCCTTTTCCTCGACCGTCTCCTGAGGTTGCAACGTGGTGGGCATGTGCACCTGGGCAAAGATTGATCGGTTGGTCGAGTTGGGTGGCGTGGGTGGGATTTCTTGATTTCTTGATTTGCTACACCTGTGTAGAATTCATTAACAGCTCTGTGAAAAAACAGTGAATAGAGAACCGCTGGCTTGCAGTCTCTGACTTGATCTGCTTGGGGAATTCAAACCGTGCTGACATCCGTGCTGACCACATCCAACCGTGCTGAAGCGGTGTTTTCCATCTGCCATTGTGGTGAATGAACAGCAAGCGGAGCAAGCGACCCATGTGTTTCACTGTGGAGCAAGCACAAAAACACAAAACACAATCGAACTAACATAGAATGGGGAATGTAAAACATTGCAAAACCGTATAATCATAGAAGGTCTTACGAATCAACAGTATACATGACCACCATCTGAGAAGGTCTTCACGGGGACTCTGCAACACCTGACAAACCTGCCGATTTCATATCACCCCTGTAGGCGCTCCATCCCAGCAAGCAAATGTGCTCATTTGCGAATAGCTAATTAAGGCCTGGGCCCTGGAGCTTTCTCATGTTGAGTCTGCCTTTGAACCATTTTTGTTCCTCCAAACTCCAAAAACACCGTAGGATTCCAGATCAGAACCAACTGCAGGCGAGTTGCCCACGTCAAGTCTTTTTCAATTTTTACAAACTAACTATATACATCGAAATCACTCCACACACACACACGGGCCGATGGCATGGCCTTCGAAAATGTCTGGAGTGAACCCTTTGCACCTCCCACCCCCCGAGTGGTCTTCTTTACTCGTACCCCACGACTGCAGTGGTCTCACCGTGCACCTTGGAACGTCGCAATTGAGTGATGATGGTCTGGCCCTCCTCGTCCCAGATCTCGTCGCTGACCTCGGCCCATGGCCGGGGTCGGAGCAAAAGAGGGGCGGTGTTCCACGTGCTTTGGGCTTTAAATGGCAACAAAAAAATATATAATATATATTAAGATATAGCTCTTAATATATAGAGCTTAATACCCCAAAAACAACAATATATATATATATTAAAATATATTATCTATCTCTATATTATATATATACTGTATATATATATATATATTGAGAGGAAATACCTACTATATGAGCTTGACTTTTTGACCGTGTTTGTATGTGGCAGAACTTTTCATGGTTTGGGACAGGGTCAGCCAGCACAGGTCAGTGGGACCACCAAAGCAGTCCTAATGTTTGAGGCTGCTACTGCTACTGTAGCAAACATCCCTAAAAAGGGTCCCAACCTCATTTGCTCCTGGCGTGGTCCTCCACCATCTGGGATTTTCAAACTTCTGGTCACCAAGCATAATGCAGCACTTCGAAGATTGCAACTTGGAATGGATCGCGGCTGCGGGCCGCTTCTAGTCGCGCAATAAATTCGGAAATAAAATCCAATAGTAGTGTCATGTAGTGTCTATGCCATCTCTGCGGCATCCGCGCATCTATGCTAGGTCTTTAAATTTGGTTCTTTAAGATCCGTGATCTGCAAGTGTGTCCATCACAGATTCACTGTCCTTGGTTTCATCCCCTTCTTAGCTTGGGAGCCACACCACACTCATCATTGTTTTTTCGTGCACAACTGACATGCAAATCTTATCTGAAAAGAAGAAACAGTTGCATTTCGTCTGCTGCGTGTGCTTGACATTGCTGTGCAAATGACTCTTGAAGTGATGGCTGGGATGTTAATATGGGGAACTTACTGCTTCACCGTGAAAAGACCGTGGCACCCAACGTGTCGTAACACTCCCGAGCCGTTCCCCCTCGAAAAAAAGGTGTCACATACCTGGACCTTCAGTACGTGACCTCTTTGGAGTCTCTGTTTGTGACCTCTTTGCAAATGTCCAGTCATAAAGCCATAGGCAGGCCAAGGCTTAAAGTCCATTCCAAAGGGAGAATCATGTTGGGATCTTGTCGGGAAGAGACTGTACATTATCACTGATAATGTAGACTCTTGATCAATAACCCCCCCATTTTGATGCGCGAACTTGTGGTCCTTGTCTGACGCGCTCCCACCAGCCCCCCTTCTCAGATTGTCCACCCATTTTGATTGTAAAACCTCTTCGACCTTATTGATGAAACCAAACAAATATATATGGTGGTTCTAACAACATCTGAAAGGCTGTTTTATATAAAACTCATTACGTGGGGTTTTCGATCAACTCCCATATGTAATTGTTTGTGCCTTCTAACTCATCAGGCTGCAACTCATCTGCAACTCATCAGGCGCTCTGAAACGGAAACCCACGATCACTCTCCAAGGGGCCAAGAACACCGCACCATCCTGCCGACGAAGTCGATACCGAGCGAGGAATCCTTGAGGCCGGGAGACTCAGGAGGTTTTTTTGACAAACAGAACCAGGTTGGTACGGTGAGCAGGGAGACTATAGGCGCATGGGTTGGGCCCAGTCATACCTTCTGATAAGGTATGTGGGTCCATAGGGAAGTATCCAAACACACGAAGACGCGTTCCAAGGAGCATCGGATGTTTTGTGGTTGATTCTTCGAACAACCAATGAGGGCACCTCTTTTTGTCGGCGAAAACATCTCAGATCATCGGGGGCTGTTCCAGTCACATCTGTCCGTATACAAGACCCCAAAAGGAAACATCGTGAAAAGCAGTGTGGCCTATGGGTCAATGAGGTATACTAAGTATACTGAATTCGACTTAATGATTAGATGTAGACTTATTTGTTGCCAATTGATCTACACACAGTACTATTAGAACCACCAAACACAATGTAAATGTTTGAATGCTTGAGGGAGATCTCAAACAACATAAAACAACCCTCACAGCATTTGCAACCCATATTTAGGTGTCTACATGTACAATCAACTCCTTCATCCCCAGCTGTTGAGAGATGCACGACTCCCGAGCTATTTCTCGCCAAGCTTTCCGCTCTTTCGAAGCAAGCTTGCGTCGGGAGAGACACACACACAAAACCACATGTGGGCTGTTTTGGAAGGATCTCAGCATAGGTCTCTTTTCAGGAATCTTAGGCGCTTGGATTTGCTTAGACATGTGGGGCCCAAACCGACCCAAACCTTGGTCTCAAAGACCTTGGCAAACTGCGACCGCCGAGTCTGATCAGTCGCCGTTTCGGTGCCCGCGACCGAGGTCCCGCGCCTGAACAGGTAAGCAGATGCAGCGATCGGAGATGGAACCCTGCATTCGGGCGGTAAGGAGTGACACCAGCTGACGTTGACGTCGTCGACCGGATGGGATGGAGATCGGGATCAAAAGGACGTCATAGGATTTGTTTGATACTTCCCTATGGTTTCCCACTATCTGGTGACCTTAGCATGGTCTATATCATTACCTGCTGAGGTGTCGGGTGTGCAGGGATGTTCTAAACTCATTCCTTCCCGCATGATACACTGCACCTACGGAGCCCCGTGCTTTGTCGATTGGGTCAGAGCAGGTTGACCCGCCTACAGGGACGTCCGCACGACAATGTCCCACATATCGTTTCTCGCCAAACAGGTTGTTTGAGTTTAGGGAGGTAACAAACAAAACATCCAAACAACGAGAGAAACAACAGTTGAACATTTGGTTTGCATGTGATACATCGAACCCACCACGACAGATAACAATGATAAACCGTGGGACCTATCCAAGAGCAAAGACTTCTCTTACCAGGACCTACCAACCACTCCACCTACAACATCACCTTCACAGTAAAGAACGCTGGCCTCCCAAACAAAGGCAGATCGCCCGTACGGCTTGTCGCAGAAGCAACGGCGATCCTTCACGTACTTGTACCTTGGCTAGGGAAACATATGGAAACATGCTGTGGAACATCGCACCCTACGAGTCTCGTTGTCCTCTTTCACATACATTGATGGTTTAAAAGCGGTTATATAATGTTTTATATTTGCATGGAACCTGGAAACCACTGGACTATAGAGGACAGTCGTCTTCCAGTCTTGTCCATTTTCAGGTTCCATGTTCATTTTCCCGGGTGTATTTGCATGATACCTGATACCTGTCCGAGTTCCTTGTGGTGAATCATGCGGCTGGACGCGCGGAGAGCTGTCACTGTACTCAAAAATATGTTGCCGCACTTGTTCGCCGCTGTCCCTTGCTCATAGGCGAGGTCAAGATGCGCTGGTTGTGGGAGCCACTAGGCATGATGGAAGGTTGCAACAACGGCCAGAGGTCGGGGGTAGAAACAGGTGCCAGCTCTCAGCGAGCCATGTGCGAGGTCAAGGTGTTTATTCTTACTTTTGGTGTGTGTGTGTGTCTCAACCCCTTTTTCTAAGGGCCACACACCACTCTCATTGCCGAGATTTTTTCACTACCAACAAATTTTAAGCCGGGGAACTGGGCACTCTGTGACTGTCCCAGTTCAACGAAGCCAGGCCACAGAGTGGGATATTCGGACTGATCATGCGAGCCAAGGTTGTGTGATGTAAACTATACTGTTTTTTTAGTCTTTCACCTTTCTGTTGTGCACAGGGCCGTTTCTCCAGGTGATATTAATAGGTTGTAAGTGCTAGTGCATTCGGAGACTTACCCTCAGCTCTATTCTAAGTGTGATTCGCAGCATCGTCCCACAGTGGTATGCTGGGTGAAACCAGTTGCCGGGCGCTGTGCTGATAGACTTTTTTGAGGGATCCTCAACTGAACCCTGTCATTTTGCTTGATATTTTCTGACGGTCGGCTCAGCTTGAGATCGTAGAACCCCAAGCCGCAGGGCCTCCTGACACATTCAACATATTCCAACTGAGTGCGCCGCATGATCATAGCTTTCAACTGTTTTCAATTCAACTGCTTTAGCTAGTTTATAATTGTTCACAGTCACCCATGATCGAGGCATCTTGATGCCCTCTGAACACCAATCCGGCAGACTGACATTCTCTACATTAAATAGCACACTGCTCCACGGAACCAGTTCCTCCACCATTACCGCCTCAGATGCCTGCCACAATCTTTGTGCGTTCAATCTTTGCTTTGTCTCACCGCCATGCAGTATCCATGGCCGTTTTCACTATGCATCCACTGCTCCACTTCCTATGCCGCGCGCAAACCCTTCAGCCACAGCTCACCAAATGAAGGCACCGCTCCAGCCTCCAGTCTCCACAATGCCACTCCGTTCACCACCAACTACTAATTACTTCAATCAATCATATTCCACTCTCACCACAACATATCCGCTGCCCAACCGCCAAAGAAAAACTCAAACCCTGTAGCCAGCCATTCCTTGTAGGAAATCCAGCACTCCTGGATCAACTTACATAGAATGGGATCACCTCGATCTTCCGCCCCGCGCCAGTCGTCTTGCTTCGAAGCATGTCGCCCTGTATAGCCCCGTGTTGATGAACGGATCCCCTCCCCATCATTGCCACCAAGGTGACCGAGGCCGCCGGGGTCACCGAAAGACTTCTGTCTCTGACGCGTCATTGTACCTCAACGGCCCACAACTTCAGCAGTTTGTACCAGGCAGACCCGCTTGTACCCTTGGAGCGACGCGTCGACCACTGCATGCTCTTTACGAAACGGACCATATCGACTGTCATCCTTGGCGCCTTTATCGTCCGTCTCGGTGCCCAAGTTGTGCTCCTCTCCGTCTCAAGCAAGAAGTGCTGCAAAGCCCAAGAAGACGAAGTTTGGGTGCAGCAAAATGCAGGCTCCAACTTCAGCACTCTATGTCTTGAGACCCTTCATCCCAACTCCCCTTCTCTCTTTATTGCCTAATGATGGAATTTCACATCACCTTACAAACGCCGGGGGCTACCAGCACCATCCCCCCAGTGACCCATTTTCAACCTACCCGATGGGAGATCGGTGTGAAAAAACCGAGCTCTTCAACCGACCCACGCACTGGTCCATGTCGTTCCCCACCGGTGGCACGATTCGCACGCTCGCGATCTTCGGACAATGCGAGTCCGGGCGCCGGAAGGAGAACTTGAAGTCCTCCTCGGGCAACGCCTTTCTCGCGCGGAGTGGGAGAGGGAGAGACTGGACAGCCACTTGAGAAATGAAGGGCTGGAATCGGCTGGAAGGACGCTGTCAGTAAAAAATACTCCACTTCGAGTGATCCCCACCCTGAATGGCGATTTTGAAGAAGGCAGGGCAGATGCATAGACAAACTAGTCTGACAAAGGCGGACACGCGGACTGGCACAATGTTCTGACTCTTGTTCTGGCATCAACTCCGGCCTGAAACATCATCTTTTGTAAGTTCTGGGAAATGTTCTGGGCTGTGTTCTAACGCCCCTGTTGGCGTGTGTTCTGACCTGTCTGACGTGTGGTGCGACATATGGAACGACTTTGGTGCTGGTGGTATGAAATGTATTGACAGTGTCAATCTCGCAAGTATATACTGGCGTTCTATCTGGCACGCATTCTGGAGTATAACTGCTGGCAGTCTATCCGGCATATACTCTGACACTCTGGCATAAGTTCTGACACTCTATCTGACTTGACATTCGATCTGGCCAGGTGCGGCGGTGTGCGATCTGGAGCTTGCAGTTGAGGCCCGGGAGTGCCCTCTTGCGTTTGCTGTTGACGTGCGGGAGCCTGAGTGCCCACTGCGACTGCGGGAGTGCCCACTGCGATCTGGCACTTGCTGTTAAGGTCTAGGAGTGCCCGCAGAGATCTTGCGCTTGCTGTTGAGGTCCAGGAGTGCCCACTGCGATCTGGTGTTGCTGTCGGCAAGGAGATAACGGAGGAGGAAGAGGAGAGGAGGCGGGATCCTCTTCAAAAATCATCAAACCTCACTTGACAGGTGGGGGAAAAGAGCTATTTTTTGAGTAGGGTCACCAGCCTTGGATTCTTATACAAGCGTATACAAAGCAGTCGGCTCTTTTCCCTGTTTTCAGCCCCTACTTAGGGTGATGTGTCAAGGCATAGCAAATGAATGAAAGGGAAACTCTTGGGACTCTGAACTGCAAGAATCCGTTTTTCACTCAGTTGCCACTCTTCTCACAATCCGTTTCTTGAAAAAACAACTTCCGACTCCGAACCCCCGGACTGTTCGGTGCCTCGGCCTCCAGCCAGATGGGAGCCCGGGAACTCCATCGAGGATACCTGCGTTGAAGACCACAACCCCTAGAAATCCAGTCGTACCGAACCTCAGGTACGGTGAGGAAGGAGACACTGTTATGAGACGGTGCCAGGAGGGTCCAGCCGTACAAAACCTGAGAAGGTACGACTGGATCTGGCACGACCAAACCTGTCTGAAACTGGAAGAGTGGGCCTACATTTGAGTGACTGAAACCAACCACCCCCAAACTGATCGGTAAATATGCCAGTCCCATGGTTTATCCATGGGACTGGTGGTTGTAATCCTTGGCGTGGGTGTGTCCTTTTCCGATCCAATGATGGGCTTTTGGGTCAAAAATGCTCCATAAGTTTGAAAGTTGGTTTCTGTGCCAACTGGAAGGCCTCCTGCCACATCCAGGATGCCACAATAGGATGCCTGCACCCCGCAGTGGAACTTCCAGTCCCACAGGAAATACCCCGAGGAAACGTGTAGCGTTTACCACACAAACGACACACTTAATGCCTTAAGAAGCGCCAGGTTGCAAGTTTACACAAATGCAGTGGATGTGGACCCAAAAACGAAGGAAGAAAGGGAGAGGCAAGGCTCACTCCACAGGTTTCCAGCGCGTTTCCTTGAAGGAAGATCTCCGGGGGGACTTCGATGAGACGGCTTTTCTCAGTGGCAACCGGGGGCAATCTCATGACATTATAAGTAATATAAGTAGCTCACCAGTAGTTCCCAAAGACTATAAAGGTTCCTGAAAACCTAGTGGAGCCACTGTGGATGGCTTTCACAAAGGGTCAGGTGGTGCAGGTCCTCCACCAACAGTTGTGTCAATTGTGATCTTTGGGATCTGCTGCGTAGAACAACAACCCCTGGTGGCGGACATCACTCGGATCGGCTGAAATTGGACTCTGGTATCTTCACGTCAAGCTTGCAGGATCTGGCCTTTCGGGTTCGCTGAAAAAAACGGGTTCGCCACCGACTTCGGGAGCGCGAGCAGATTTGGACCTTTGTTCGTCAAACAGCTGGCCAAAGGCTGCCAAGGGTCCTCATGGTGTCAATGGTTACGCCACACCAAGCCGGTCACTTCGTTAACACCTCCTAGTGGACGTAGCCCAACAAAACAACATGCCTCTTTTCTGTGCATTGGTGCTCTGAACAGGTGTTGGATAAACAAAGGGTTTGGTCTATATTATATACATGTCTATATACATATATATGGGGGTTGTCCAACAAAGCTCTTCTTTTTGAGCTTGTATCGCCGGCCTTTCGCGGTCCTTTCGCGTTTGCAGAAGAACCACGCATTGTGATAAGCTTGTTCCATTGCACTGAGTTCACAGTGTTTGGGATATCTAAACAATGGTTTCAAGGCCACGGATGGGCAGATGCCCTTCCAGGCAATGCGCCCTTTCGCGGGCCTACCGCCGGCCTTTCGCGGCCCTTTCGCGAAAATCCGTGTTTCTGTTCGGGAAAAAGGATGTGTCATGTATTGTCATGTGTTGTCATGTTATGCACATTGTATGTTATAAGTCTAGGTTGGCACATGTCTTTCGCCGTCCTATCGCCGGCCTTTCGCGGACTGCAGTTTCCCTTACGCGACATGTATGTTTTAACATTTCATCTAAATTCCTTCACTGGCAATAACGGACGGCCCTCATATAAGGAACATATTGTTGGAAGGGGAACGCCTGGCGCACCTATTCGTACTAATGCTTTACCGTCAAGTTTCTGGGATCTATATACTTTGCTAGGCTACCTAGCATATCACGTAAGCAAGTCAGCGGTACAAAGAAGTCCAGCTGCATCTAATATCCTCCAAAGACACAGTGCCATTGGAAGAGATCCCTTTTCTGACTTTCTTCATCTTTCTGCCATTCTCACTTTCAGTCCCTCAGCTGCAAAAAGCCAAATTCCGAAGTCCCCTCAGCCACAGGAGCCACCCGGAGGCACCTCTTGTGGTCCGTGTGCAAACGCAAGGAGTCATCGCGCCCCTCAGCGGACCATGCACCCAGCCTGACGATTCGGACGAGCCGATTCGGACGAGCGGCCTGGAAGAGGGGTTCAATCAAACCTGGTTTCAGCTGATGTCTGACATGAACCACCATGTCAGTATGCGAAATCTCCGGATGTCAGGATGGGTCGCTTCTAAAACCGAAACAAATAAATCAAACACATGATTCCATGGATTTCTTCGGATGGCCAATTCTTCCGGTCCCAAGTCTTTCTCCGGTCTCCTCCGGCCCATCCTGTCTGGGCCTTTCAACGTTCCCTCGCACACAAAGGGATTCTCCCGGCCTCGGCCACGCACAGTGAAGGTGGGCGGATTGAATTGGGGGATTTCGGCGTGACTGGAGGACACGCCAGCGTGACTGGCCACAAGGGAGTAGAGACTTGCACCGAGTCTGGGAACAGTATACAGTATATAGTTACTTATAAAAAGTAAATAAAAGTTACTGTATATAGGAAGTTATAGGGACATTGGGCGAGAAAATGAAGCCTTTCTACTCATGGTGACTATGATCAGGTTGCTTAAGTATTGAGTTGACTCTGGGAGTGGCGCTCTGATCAGGTCGCTCCGACCTTTCCACGGTTGGGAGCGTGACTGTGTTTGGCAGTGCCGCAAATCGAAGACCAGGCCCACGCGCGGCATGGCTCGCCGCTAGCGCAGTGCAGGAAGGACCTGCGACGATAGATATGACCAGTGGAGGCGTTTTCCGCGTGTCTCCAGCAGGATGGGAATTCAACATTGAACAAAGAAACGCTGGAATTCCAAGGAAGAAAGCAAACCTGTGGATTTCTAGAAACACGAACTGCTGATATAACGTAGCTAAAACTGGGTGTAGAAAAATCGTGTCGATGGGTGCTAGGAGGTGTGGGGAAGTCACATGGTCAACAAGAAAAAGGGTGTCGGATACTTCAACAATCTGACGAGTTTCCTATTAAGGAAGCGTTCCGTCTTTCGTGCAAATATATCGATCATATGTCTATTGTCATCTGCAAGCCAGGGGTCACACGGACAATATTGCTGGACAAGAACTATATTAATAACATTATATGGACTGGCTAACCCGTATTTGGAGCTCCCAGCCCCAACAGAGTGCCTGTTTGATGTCTGGGTTCTAGGGATGTAGCTATTCTTTCAAAAAGGGTTCGGATTGACGGTAGCTATTCTTCCGAGCAATGTCTTCACCCACCCTCGGGAAATCCGTTTCTGCACTCTGAGCGACCCTGTTCGGTCGTCTCTAAATGGCACTGCTCGGTCCAAATGACGTGCCTAGACCTTCAAAATCCCACAATATTTTGGTCGATGTGGTTTGTACTACTTTATTGTGACGATCAGTTGAAAAGTGGTCGAGCACATACGATTCAAACAAAGAGTGGTCGTGCATGGTCACACACTGCCCTCCCCGTGGCCTCTGGATGACTGATGGATGACTGATGGATGATGATGATGATGATGATGATGACGATGATGATTGGTCGGTTTCACGGGAGTTCAAAGGTATGATCTCTTATGTTTGCACAAAACTTGTGGCGAAATCAAGTGGCCATCGCTTGAGCAGTCGATATACCCCTCTAAGAAAGAGCGGCTTTCACTAATCCCTGGTCGATCAGACATTGGCCTAGAGCTCCAAGAATTACGAGCAGGCTCGAGCGCAGCAAAACTACAAGATACGGTAATGACATACGAGTATGCAAAAGGAACCATAATTGCATTGTTGCTAACAAATGAACTCATGTCGACATCATGCTCGTAGGAAAACATGACTAGGCACTCATTTTCTCCCGAACAGCTTATGACCAAAGATTGTCCAAGTGGAGCAGGCAATCCTACTCATGACATTCAGCCCAAAAGAGTTGCAATTCAACGAATTTAGAGGTTTCTCAAAAACCATCAAAAACCCATTTGACCTACTTTCTGGGATTTGTGGGCGTTTGCAGGTTTTTGATGGCGTTTTGAGGGTTTTTGTGGGCGTTTTGCGGGTAAAACTGGTCGTGGGTTTTCATCAAATTCTGTCTCCGAAACCTCAGAATAACATTAAGTGCTTTCCACTCCATGTAGGTCTTCAGAGGTCACAACCTGGGCATGAACAGACAAATGTTTTATCAATTTCTCCTTTGTCGTGGTGACATCAATGTATTTATTATATATCGAATCATCTCTGCCATTGGCCAAGGATGAACTTATTGCAACCCTGTAGCCAGTTTTTTAAATTCTTTGTACATATCCTGCTTCGCATCTTGCAATTCCACCGGAGTTCGAAGTCGTTCATTATAAAATGATAAAGGTAAATGAAGACACTTGGCAGCTGGGCATTAATCCAGTTATCGTCATCAAGAAGGCCGCAAAAAAAACTTGAAGGTCGGTCTTTGCCGGGTCGATGATGACTGGCGTCTTCCACTGCGTCCAATGGGATGGCTGATGGATGGATGGGTTGATAAATACGGAAGTCATCCCCTAAATATAGATGTGTGATAGCCGGTGATGGCTACTCGGATCAAAATCTGTGGAGCATACCCAAATCACGCCGCTAAGCAAAAATCAGTCGTTTCTGACAACTACCATTTTTTTCCATCGAAGCATCAGAAACTAATACAACAACCCAATCGTACTAGAATATTTTAGCCGTTGGAAGGTCTAGGTGGTTTCATTGGTGACCTCTGGCACTGTTGTTTTTCTTCCCAACGTTTGGTGCCTTTGGGTTTGGACCCCCAGCTGTGTATCTTTATAGATCCACATACCGAACCTGTGAAGGTAAGCAGGGAGACTCTTGATGTAGGCGCGACAAATCAGGCCCAGTCATACCGAACCAGGCCGGTACGGAAGGTGGATCCGTGGATCCAGTCTGGGTACATTGATTCCTCCACCCCTGGCGGTTTCTCGGTCAATTTACAAGTCAGTGAGTGTCTCGTCATCTGCGGTTGTCGACCGGGCCTCAAAAGGATCGGCTGAGGGCCAAGGAGGTGGACGTCGCACCAGCCAGCTGTCTTGGACGTCGCTTGGACTTGTCTCACGTACTTTGCGGCTAAAGTTACTTTTTGGATGACACACATGACTGACACGTGTGTGTTTTTCTCGCATGTTCATGAAACTGCAAGGATTGGTGTTGGCATATTGCTCAGACTGTTCAGTTCAACAGTCCAACCAGGTCTTTGGTGTACAAGTTCGTTAGTGGCATGAAAGACTTGTTTGTTTTGGTCGTGGCATGATGGCATGAAAGACTTGCTTGTTCATGTGCGCTCAAGGGTCAGAGGGTCAACACAGTAAGGGCCATGATGTCTTTGCATGATGTTCATGTTTGCTTCAGCCAACAGCCTGAGCAACAGCGGCAGTTGCAAGCTTACTGTTGTGCCCAATTTGGAGCCTCAGTCATCCAGCGACGTGGAGCCTCAGTCGTGACCAAACACGACAACGGAGCCGTCGCTGTACCGGACACCACGCTCAGAGCCTCCGAGCTCCGAGAGACATCCTCAGAGCTCCGTCTCGTATACGGCGAATCTGGTCGGGAAGTCAGTGATAAGTAGTTACAGTATGTTAATTGTAGAGAGCGGGTAGTCATGGGCGGTGGGCTTGTGAACGTTGTGATTTTGTAAGGTATCTACACCACTCCACCCCCCATGGCTATCCCTTCTGTAATATATTATGAACATATATATAACTCTCCCTCTGTGGCTCCAACTACCTTCGTTTCGAGGTGGGACTGGGACCCTTAAAGGGTCCAACCATCTTCTGGTCTGGGGAGCGAGCGAACGAGGGCCTCTCGTACATGGAGCAACCCCCTCTGAGGTGTTGAAGCAAAGTCTGCTGAGACCCAAGGCACAGCTCCCAAGCTAAAATTCATGGGTGACTTGTCACTGTCATGAAAAAGAGCAGCTGGAGTTTGCAACGTGTCTCAGTGTCGCTGAACATATTTTGTGGTTGTTGCTTTTGGGTTCCCTGGCTCACCTTGTTTCCCTCTCTCTCTCTCTCGTTCTCTTTCTGTTCCTCTTTCGGAGGTCGTCCTCACACAACACGCCGAACGCCCGCAGCAGTGGACTTTTGAACTCATGAAATCATGTCCAAGCTCCCCTCATCAGGTTTGAAGACGTAATTTTCATGAAGTGCGGCATCCTCCTGCGATCGGCTTTATTTGTCCGACCGAAATCAATGTCGAAAAAGCGTGAACCAGATTGGGTTTAGAATCTAGATCAACATATTTCAACATACGATACTGGTTGGTGGTTCGACTCACTTGAAAAGTATACACTTCAAACCACCACCTATATACCTATATATGTTGTACCTAGAACCCAAACATGACCTGTTTGGATAGGAAAAGCACATTGTCATGTGTTGAACTCCCAGAAAAGGGGTCACTCCGGTTCCAGATATTTTTACCCTAGGGCTCCTGGCCTACCTTCGTTTCGGAGGTGTTTGTTTGGGGTGGGTGTCCGGTGGGTGTCAGGAGGGTCGAAATTCTTTCAGAGGAAGTACTTGAGTGTTCACCCACGCTGTTCGACCTGGACCAGTCCAATCTGTTCAGGTGCGTGGAAGCCAGACATGACCGGTCTGGGCTGGGGTCAATGTAGGCATTGATATTCCAGTCCCAGACAGGTCGTGTGGGATGGGAATCCACCAGGCCACCAGTCCAAGTTCCTCAAAAAAGAAAGCTCCGAGATCTCCGCGGAAGGCGCGGCTAGCAGCTATATAGGCGAAAAGAAAAGAACAAAGAGTCAAAGAGAGTCAAAGAGCTAAGGCCGTTTTTCAGCGCTCCGCTCCTCAGTGAAGCGCGAAGGCACCCAGACCTGAGCATTTTCGGTTTTATCTTTCCATGTTGTTTTTCCTTGCGGCGGGTCTGGTGCATTCCTTTTTCTTGAGGAACATCATCCCAAGGTCTGGTTCGGGACTGATTCAGGGCTCCAAGACACAGCCTTCATGGCTGGGTCTCCAACCGGGGCGGTGTGAAAAACTGTTAGTCTCCTCAATTGAATGGAACCTGCCATTCTGCTAGTGGACAGTCATCTGCATCAGCTGCAACACTCGCAGGCCCGGGCCCCACCCTCCCACCAGTTCCGTTCGTCGCAAGAAAAAATGGGCCAAAAGCGGCCCGCGCCCATCTTCGGTCCTGGCGAGGTGTTCGTCGTTTGAAAACGTCCCGGATCTCTGGTCCAATCTTTCGGTCCCGACGGTCCCAACGCAACAAGCTGCCCCCGTTCTCAGTGCCCGACGAAGAGGGGCAGCTTGCTTTTGGGCAAGGCCTGCGAGATGGAGCGAGATCTTGCCAGGGAATTTGCTGCTCCGGACATCCACATCCCTCTACTGGGAAAAAATATAACAGGCCCTGGATGAGTGGAGGTTCTTCAATCACGCCTTTGGTGGCCCTGTCCGTGGATGGACTGAGGGACTGAGTGAGTTGTGGTCACACATTGAGACTTGGTCTCCTAAAGAAGTGCAGCACATGTTCTTGCAAACCACCCTGGATTGTGGATGATTCTTTGAGTACTGGTACAGCATCGGGCTATATAATTGGAATGAAAAGAGCATAAGGAACATTTAGAAAACACATATTTCAATTTAAGTGATTTGCAATATTTTTCAGAGAACCGACATGTATATTATAAGATACGCACAAGAGAAAATGGGAGACAAACAAAGGCCAATAAGAGATAAATAAGAGAAACTGAGCACTGAGACAAATACTCTGGAATAATATCCTACAAGCAAGCACATCATCCTTTTCTGTCCCGTCCCTTCCCATAAAATCAGTCGTAAGTATATAAAAGTAGGTTTCGTTGTATTTGATCCCCTTTTCGTTTTATTTGATCCATCAGCTAGTTGAATATTAATTGTACTGGGGGCCCATCAAATAAAACGAAAAGGGGATCACCTCCTGTTCACTGGCCATGTCCAGAAGATTCACTCGCTCTTTTCTCGGCCACTCCCTGGGCTCACAGGTCTTGTTCCATCTTGTCTTGGAACACATGTTCACGTCCAAAACTCAAATCAGCTCTACACCAATCTCAATACTTCATCTGCCCTCATTGTGCGAGCTTCGCGATGAAAATATAATGGTTTGCCTGAGATAATCAATGCACATTGACATCTCGATTATCTAAACTCTGTTTCCAAGGTTTTGATTTCAAGTTCCTTTTGATCTCTTGCCCAGGTGCGAGGAACCACCTCCTGGCACCACCAAAATATATAGCAATTGGATTAACTTCCAGACTTATATCGTATATTACAAAAAAGACAGCAACATGAAGACTGTAGGTTCGAAGTCCTTTTCAGCCTTCTTGACCAAGACCCTCCAGTATCGTGCTAAAGTTCGTGATGCTTCAAGGGCCTGTGGAAGAAGCACATTGCACTTTGGACATCTTTGGGCCTAAAACTCATTCAGTTCAGCAAGCCACCCCAGTTCAATGCAGTATATGACTTCCATGTGCTATCCAGACCTGCCTCATTCGAAAATGCTCCTGCAATGGTTGTGAACTTGAGGCCGGCGAGGGATGGGGTGTAGGCGAACGCGGGGTAGATCGGCTCAGGCTTGATGATGAAGTAGTCGAATTCTCAGGACGCCACATGCTTGACATGTAATTACCATGGATACACCACCCCTTTGCCCCATCCAAGAACAATTAGACACCTTTGACATCCTTTAACCTTGTTTAATCAAGATCATTTCAACTTCCCTTCCTTCATCGCCAGCTGCTGGTGGACGATCGCACTTGTGCTTGTGCAGGCCCATGTCAACATGTCCTTCCTCCTCGAGCTCAATCATGAGGCTGCGCAAGGTGCAAGGCTCAGCGTCTGTCGAAGACTTTGAGCTCTCTGAAGGAATCTCCAAGACGACTTTGGCTTGGTCTGAAGTCCAGCGACAAGGAATTGTAAATGCGAGCGCACTGCCTGACCAAAGTGACATAGACTTTTACTATAGACACTTTAGCCACAAACGCTTTACCAAGGCAAACACATTGTTGATCATTGATGCATTTCCCAAAGGACTAGACTAGAATATACTAGTCTAGGGAGTATCCTATTTTCCCTGGCTCTTGGACACCGTTGTGTCTCTCTAGATGGCTGCTGGTAAGCCAGCAGCATGTCCCCACAAAATGATCCAGAAGCAATCTGGAAACTGGAAGCGATGATTGCACAATGACCAGCTGTGCAACAGCAACCAAAAGCAAGTCTTTGGAACAGGGGTAGTTTTCACACAAGTGTTGATACAACTTACGATGACCAAAAGAGTCGTAGACACTATGAGCTGGTCAAGCATCCATCTACTAAGCATCCATCTACTAAGCATCCATCCCTGCCGCAGTTTTCCTGCGGCGCTTTGGCTCTGAAACCTTCTTCTGGCAGCTGCTAGTCATTCTGCGACGAGAGAGCTCACTATTGGACATGTTGCGCAAAGCGCTCATACGCTGAGGGTGCTCCTCCCACCTGAATCATTCACGAGTTGATTTGCAATATACTTGCTAGATCTTTCTTACTATCTCATACTAGTAGTAATTATATCTAGTAGTCTTGCAACGTCAAACTATATTATAGTGCCCAGGGGTAATTTTTTCAACTGCAACGTATTTTTTGAAATGGAAGCGAGCCACTCTGCACGTGCCAGCTTCAAGACTTCTTTGGCAGGCATGTCCGGATTCTCTCGTTTGATCCGCTTCTGGGCTTCGTGCACAACTTCCCAATAAAGCGCCCTCATACTCTGTGCCCCAGCCACCCCTCCCATCTCATCGCCATCTCTTTGAGAAGCCCTGGCAACTTCATCATCATCATCTTTTTTCTGGCTTTCCTTCCCCTTCTTTGGTTCACGCTTCTTTGGTTCACTGTTCTTTAATTTCTTCTGCTTCGGCGACTGTCCAAGGCGGAGAGTCTCAGCGTCAACGCTGTTGACCTCCTCCTCCTCCTCCTCTTCCTCCAGGTATTCTTCACTCAGATCCTCCTCCGAATCCAACACATCCTCCTCAGCTTCAGCCTCCTCAGCTTCAGCCTCATGTGTCAACCAGTTGTTCCATCCCAGGTGGTCTAGATAAGACACACTAATGACTAATGACCCTCTAATAGCAATCCTCCACCAGCCCCCTACATACAGTCGCTAGCAATTGAGAGTCAGAGTAAAAAATCAATGTGTATGATGTGGAGCTCATAACTTCTGGAAGTTTCAGATCGAAACCTTTGTAGTTGCAGGAGCTCAACTTTGGTATTAGAATTGTAGGTGGAACTCGAGCAGCACGTATCCCCAAATGATTTTGTGACCAACCCTCAGGTGCTGCCAGCCTTGGCTGGCTTCCTGGCTGGCTTCTTCGCAGCAGCTTTTTTCTTGGCGGCAGCTTTCTTCTTGGGTTCCTTCTTTGCAGTAGCCTGGTGCTCAAGAGTTGGGTCAAGTTGAGAAGGCCGTGCACACTAACTTACTAACCCACATGTAACATAACCTTGTGGTGATGAGAAACATAAACAAAGAGTCATTTGTTTGTTTTCACCATAGTTGTAGAGTGTCTAGTTTGTTGTGCCACTATCATACTAAGAAGCCTAGCCTTGCCAGCTTTCTTCTTGGCTTCCGCATCAGACGCCTGGAGTTCAAGTGCCCTCTGAACAGCAGACTTTGCCTTGGGAACCTGCTCCCCCTCAGGTCTCTTTTGGATTTCTGCAGCTTGCTTCAGCCTGTTCGTTTTGCTCTTCTTGCCAGCTTCATCCAAGGCTACCTTCACAGCGCTTTGCATCTCAGATACTTGGCTTGGATCCATCGGCTTCCTTGTTCGTGTGTTCGTAGGGGTGCCAGTCTTTTTGGCGGCAGAGCCCAATGCTTGGGATCCAGGATCAAGCGGGCTGGCAGTAGCCTGAAGCGTGCAAAGACCCATGGTCATGGTACACACTCTATGTTTCTGTTGAGTTTTGTCGGGCGATTGGCGATTTCCTGAGACTATAACATATGATTTGATACAATCTGGCAAAGTTATGCTACCTTCGCTTCGAGCAACTCTGGGAGTTGGAGTCTGCAAAGCCCCTGGAGACGTCTCGTACATCACAGTCAGGTCCTGGTGGTAAGGTTGGAGTTGAAGCTGGTGGGCAATGGTTGGAGTACTTGCAGCCAATACAGTTTCAACAAGTTGGCAGGGCAAGTAGGTCAACTTTAATTTTATGGGCTAGCAAAGGTGGCTGAAGGTTGCCCATAGTCTCTGACGCACAAAGAATTCCTTCAATCTGTTTGAAACACGAAGAACCCTGCACACCCTCCAGCTGGTCCTGCTGCAAACCGTGCTGCGCCAAGATAGAAGCAAGCGAATCCATTGGCCAAAATGAAAGCGACTATAGTCTGACTAGTCTATGAAAACTACCAGTGGCTTGACACCTTTCAGATTGCGAGTGGTTTAGGTGAAGTAGTCCAATGCTTTCAAACAATAAGTATTTAAGAGTACTATGAAGAGCAACGTGGTACTTGCAAAACCCCGAAACTGGTTCATGCCAGCTGTATTGAACATTGATTGATTGGGTCGTGCCTGGGCCAGAGCCAACACCTTCACGTTGAAGTTTTGCCAGCTTCTCATCCTTGAGGAATGTTGACTTCCCATGGCCAATTTCGAACTCGGTGAGGGAAAGTTCGATCTCTTGGTGACATACCTGAGATACCAAGAATGGAACTCATGCTGGGTGCGCCCGATGTTGGCTTTATTTCGATAACCCACACCCAAACCCCAAAGTTGTGTTGAACACAGTGTTGGCTACCAAGAAAAGCTTGTGCGTTTGCCCTTCGACAATCTCTGTGGCGGTGCCATCCCTCATCTTTGCATGGACAAGCATCAATGTTGTCCCCGGTACTCTCCCAGGGCACTTTTGCTCCAGGATGTAATTGTCCATCAATCCCTGCAGATCAGTGGGTTCCGAGGTCCATGCGGGCCGTGCCTCTTCCGGTTCTTCAGCAGGCACGATCTGGCTTTGGTCTTCGGGCTCGGTCTGGATGTTGCCACAAAACCTGACTGCATTGACCAGGACCAGGATGAGACTTGTGGGTGTGAATGGACCAGGACCAGGATGAGACTTGTGGGTGTGAATGGACTGACTTCAGGACCTAGCAGACAAGATACAAGTTGATACAAGGGATTGTTTAATATCAGCAACATCACGCGCTACACACACAAGAAACCTGATGCAATTTTTGGATCGAGGGACTTCTTGTCGAAGTCAGTGATAAGGCGCTTCCAGTCCGCAGAATGAACCACATCGGAAAGATGCCGAGCCCTTACCTCGTTACTCAATGTGACGACAAACTTCCCTCGTTTTGCCTCGTCCCTGGAGACCTGGGCCAACTTCAAGGTCACAGTGTCTAAATCGGTTGCAGCTTGAGGAGGTACGGTCGCGTCATACTTCCTGATGTTGTCACCCATCAAGGTGCCGTTGTTCTTCCAGTCCTACCGCATGGGAAAGAAAATAGACATAATAATAACTAAACGACAACCGGTATTGAACAGTTGGTTCACGTGAAACACTCCCTCACCATCCCTCAACCATTGACACCAGACCTCAATCAGGGTTAAGTCGACGTACTAAACCAGACATGTTTTCATTTTACCTGCTGTCATTGTTGTTTTTCCAACTCACTATCCTCCATCAAGATGAATGCACACTGCTTCTCGCTGAATGCCGTGTAGTTCACATTGGTCGACACTGACAGGGTACGGATGTCACGCTCGGCACGTGGGGTCCATTTCAACGCAACCCTTTCAAGCCACCCGTCGTACGGGGAGAGGTTCAAGATACCAAGCACTTTTCCCACATCAGCCCCATTCAACAGGCTGTTGATGACAGCTGTGGGCATGGAAGCCCCTGAGAGCAGCTGCGCTGTCTCTTGGTTCGTTGAGAGCGCCCTGGCGTACATGGTTTCGGTTTCAAGCGTGGGAACATTTGGTGCTTTATGGCTAGGCTTCCAAAAGCAGTTAAACATAGTTAAACCTATAATGAGTAACAATAGCATTTAGCAAACTTGTTTTTGAGGTCTAACTTGTTTATATAACCCTGTCAAGCCTGCTTCCTTCTGAAGCATGCAGCACAACATCCTTTGTCGGGACTTCATATTGGCTTTCTGGCGTCCATGGAAGCAACTTGCGGACACACCTGAGCTTGTCAAGTGCATTAGTCCCCAAGGGGTTCATAATCATCTACCGAAAAAATTATAGTAGACAGATAAAAGCAGCATTATTCTTAACAAAACAGTAGTATGTTTTGGTGACACATGTGACCAGGAAACCAGGAACTAGACTCTTGGGGCTTGATGGATGTGATAGAGTTTTGATTGGATTTTGGGATCAGAACACAGGGCCAACAACAAGCTTCAGACATTCATGGGACCTCCAAAAAAATGATTTAAGCAAGTACCAAAATGACTTGTCCTGCATCATTTGGCATCCCATCCACACATTTGAAGCAACGCCCTGTTGGTAGACCACCCAGGCCGGAAAGTTCAACTGTACTCTCTTCGTTGCTGGAGGATCTTCGCAGCGCAAAAGGACAGGTTCAGACTCGATGCCCTTTGCATCCAGTTTGTTTTCCACCCTCCTGAGGGATGCGCCAAAAAGCATCTATTCTAGCCCAACTGGAGTGACTCTGCAAAACACTTCTTCGAAAGTACAGCAAAACCAATAACATAAGATCAAAGTCTGAGTGATTGTTGTCAGACCCATGTTCACTCGGTCCTAAGTTCGTCTCGCAGTCCACCTCTTCGCTCGGACTGGGCATGAGGCGCAATGATGAATCCGATGGATGCTTCCGGAAGAGCAGCAAGTGCCTTTGACAGCATGGTGACGGAGTTGTTCAACTCATCTTTGCTGACCACGCCGGCTTTCATGTAGTCGATCCATACCAAAAGAGCTCCATCCTCTTTCTTCAAAGATGCTGCAAACTCAGGGGTCCAAGAACATGAGGTTGAACTTTATGTCAGGTGAAAAGCACATTTAGGGTTTTAATTCATTGAACTTTATGTCAGACTTATTGATTCATATGGATTTTGCTGCTTGATTCATATAGACTTGTTTTGCACCCTTGCCTGAACAACCTCATCAGTCAAGTCACTGACAGGTCCCGCAATGTGATTGCAGTTCTTTTTCATGTGCTGCATCACCAAGTTGGATCCCATTTGGTTTTCCTGTTTTAGATGCATCACTTTTGCTAGGCGATTTGCACGTTCGTTTTTCATCTCCTTTTGATAAAGGGCTGCAATCTGTGCGGCATCCCTCGCCAGAGACAATGCGTCGGCATCGAACTGCATTTTTGACTGTTGCAATTGCAGTTCTTCGATTTTGCCATCGGCTTTGGATAGGTGGTCCGTTGAAGGATCTGGGCACATCTTCTTGGGAAGGTTCTCGAACCACATGCTTGTGTCTTCTGGCTGGAAGAAAGCATCTCTGCTTTCCACAGTGGGCTTGATGTCTTCGTGGAAATCCCTGAGATGGAACTGAAGAAAAGTAGTGAAAGGCAGTTCCTATATATGTTAAACTTTGGAAAAGGTATTGCCCAAACCAAATCAAGCATAACTAATACCAAACCAAGACACCCCTCGATGAACCTGTTCCTGACAGTGTCAATGGTCGCCTTCTTGAATACCAGGAGGTTGTCCTTGTCCCTGGCAGCCCTCATTTTCTCTAAGATATAGCCCGCGAAGCAGCAAATGTCTGCCTCATCCTGCCACTCCATTGGGCTCAATCTCAGAATCTGGGCCTTTCCGGCCTTTCTTTTGGCCAACTCAAACACGAAGAGGATGCGTTCAAGGAATAGAAGTTGCCTTGCTTCTGTCATACTGAGCATGTCATACCAAACACCTTCAGCTCCCCGAGGCACACCGTTCAGCAACCATCGCGACAGGATCAAAGTGTCCCGGCTGAAGGCTGAAGGGGGTGGATTCGAGTCCAATGTGCTTTGAATTTGTTGATTTGTTGTGACAGCAAAATAACAATAACACTATATAGAACCCACCCTTCTGACAGCTTGTTCCTAACTATATAATATCTAGTATCAGGAATGACCCAGTGATGAAAACTGTTCGTTTCGTTGTTTCCACACCAGACTCCAGCACCTGAATTTTCGAACTTGTTCATGTGTAGGTGCTTCACCATCAGGTTCCAACACTCGTTGGACACTCCCACCTCCACAGGGTTTCATTGTCCTTTTGTCAACCAAGTTCAACACCTTGTACAGCACAGATCAACAAGTAAACTCCCCAGATTCTCCCACCCACCTTGAATCCGAACATGAGAAGTGATGTCGATCCATCTACACGATGCTGCGCAGAAGACTTTGCTAAACCAAAGCCATTGTATTCTCCTATGGCTTCGTCCCAAGCCGCCCTGTAGTTTGCCACATAGCCGTCCTGCGGTAGTAGTTGGGAGCCCACAACGACCCTGAGATTGGTGGAAAGGCATCAGGCTCTAAACAACTCAATTCCCATCCCAGCAGGTTCTAATTCTAGCTTTTGATGGTTTTTGATGCTTGAAATTCCTAGGAGACAGTGAGGGCTTATTATATTGAAAGCAATGTAGTTTGAGAAGTACATGTCCTTCATGATTTGTTCAGCGCGACTGTGGAACATCATGCATAGCTGCAGAAGTGATTTCTTCTGTCGCTCAGCCTGCTGCTGACTTGTTTGGATGCGGCGCCACATATAGTCCTGCTCACAGACTTGAGGTATATATTGGCAAGGTAGAGTCAGTGCCGTCTTCAGCCACCTTAGTTTCACAGACTGTGGATACACAGGAAGAGCTACAGGGGTTATATAATATAGAACATGATCTACCAGCCTTGAAGCTTACCAAGGTAGTGGCTCCATCCTAAAATTGTGGCATGCCCCACCAGGCTCTACTGGGCAAATCCACCCAAAGCTTAAGGGTTCAATCCCTTAGTTCAACTGTGTTAATAGCCCAGTAGCCACATATAGGGGACAAGACTGGGGACATAGTATTTTTCAGGAACGTATGGTTTGTCCTGCATGTTGTCAGAACATTGTGACTCAGTATCAAGCCCTACCAGCACAAGCTGTGACTAGATCAGCTTGCAAATGACTAGGCCTAACACATGGATGGCAACATAGTTGCGTCACCTTTGGGACTTCCAGGTACCTGAAATCTCAAAGGCGACGTTCTCACTGAGAACATCACCTTTGACATGGTGAGGGCTGGGGGCCTAATGATGTCAAAGGCGACGTTTTCATTGAAAACATCACCTTTGGTGCTGTGTTTGGGGCCCAAAGGCGACGTTTTCACCAAGGTGGACTCAGGGGTTGGCCCCAAAGGCGACGTTTTCACCAAGAACGTCACCTTGGTGGATCGAGGGGCTGGCCCCAAAGGCGACGTTCTCACTGAGAGCGTCACCTTGTGGATTGAGGGGTTGGCCCCAAAGGCGACGTTCTCACTGAGAACATCACCTTTGAGATTTTGAGAACATGGAACCTCCAAAGGCGACCCAACTATGCTTGGGACCTTAGTTTTAGTCTAGTTTACTCTTCCCTCACCTGGACCCTCCTCCAGAGCTGCCCCTTTGGATTTCTTTGGAACTGCAGCTGAGTGACTCCCGAAATTCCTGGAGCTCTTCCTCACTTAGGGCATTCTTCAAGTGGATGTAGTTGTACGCGACAGTGTAGAAAAGGATGGAAATCCTTCCGCATCCCTTAGCAACTTCCAAGCAACCATGCTCCATGGGTTTGCCACGGATTGTGGGATCAATGGGCTTGATCTCAATGGATTCCCAGGCTTGGTATCCAATGGCCCAGATGCTGGAAGCATGGCCGAGCCAATCCTGATAGCATGGGAGCCCATCGAAGGGTTTCTTGGGCTTGAAGGACAGGAGTGGCACGCTCAACGAGCTTTGGCAAGAGTCCTGGCACAAAAGCTTCCCCTGCCGTAGACTTGCTCAGACTACGATTGAAATTACTGTAAAATAGTTTGAACCCATCAACATTTGGCCACCCTTGTCCGGCATAATCACTTCAGAAGGCTTGGGAATTGGAGACTGCAAGACGTCCTCAAGCCAGTCTGTCAAAGGGCCACACATGTCGCTGTGCCATTTGTCCAAAAGCCATTGCACAGGGTGTTCGTCCCTCATAGGATCAAACAGCCTCAGCACCAGCTGAGACATGACAATGTACACATTGGAGTCTACATACTTGTTGTCTTAGTGCTGTATAGTTCGTAGTCATTTTGGTGTTCAAAATCAAACATCGTTGAATACTTCCATGGAACTGAGCACCCATCACCATCTTTTGCCCCCATGGCTTGAGGCTGAGTTTCGGGGCCTTTGCCGATGGCGGCGTGCCCGAGGCAGCACGCTTACCCATGGTTGAGGCCCAACCTAGCTCAACCTGCCCCAAAAAAGCTGAAGAAGCTCGGGATTTAAGAGACCGACACATTTGCATGACAAGTTGCTCTGGTCCAGACATGTTCAGTAGAAGCCTCCCAAGAGCACCTTTCTGCGTCACTGAAGGTTCTTCCAAAGGACTCCTCCTAATTTGGGCAAAGGCAAATGAATTTTCTTCAACGAATTGATTTCACCTCAGAGGCTCCATCATCATGATGGCGCTCAGCAAAAAAGATCCAATGCATGCCACATTCATGGCATTCCCCGCCATACGGACTTTCTGATGGTCGGGTGTCGTGGACACTTCCAAACATGGTGCCCCACAGATCTTTGAAAATTTGCGGCTAGTTGGCAACAGGTGGCTGGTGAGCATCTCAGTGGGTGAAAGGTATCGTCGCTCCACCTCCATGAAGACATGGCAACTCGAATTCTACAGCTAGGTCACATGTTCGTGTTCAAACAATGCCCAATTAATGTTATGAAATATGTGTGCTGGCCTTCGACCAGAGGCGGCCAGAATTTGTGGTAAGTGTAGGTAAGGACCCATCCACTGTCTCTGTCCTTCCGCGCCCGTTGCACACCAGCTGGGACAGGTCAGCCACCTCCCAATCTTTTTCCAGCACTTCGTAGTCGTGCAAGTTCTTAGCCTCAGTGGGATCAGAGGGAAAAAGAGGGAATACAAGATGTTGCAGCGAAAGTGTTTCAAGAAGTGTTTCAACTTAGCAGCATAGCATGGGGCCAATCCAGAGGGTGCGATCTTCTGGAAAAAGAATTTTCCAGCTGACATCATGGGCAAAGCCTTCAACCCTTCAACGATTGAAGTCAGATCGAAGGCCTGGTCTACTCTCACCGAACATTTCTTCCAGCATAGTCCATAAACACGAGGCCGGCTAGTTCCCAAGCCAAAGATCCTAGGATCAATGGTCATAGTATAGCATCCCCACCCTGATCCCAGCTCCTGCTTCACGACCTCTTCCATGTGATACTCTGGAACGTTTTCCAAAACAAGAACATCGGCTTGGGTGGGAGCTGTTTCATAGTATTTTTGGTGGACGATGTACTTCACAGATGTCACACCTTCGCCTGTGCCCATCCGAGAGAAAGGTTGGCATGGTGGTCCTGACCGAAAGGAAGGCTGTGGATCGACGAAGGCTGGGTGAACTGTCGCTAGCAAAACATATTCAAACATGTTACACAGGAGGCCAGCCTGCCACAGAGATTCTCAATCCTGGGCTCTTTTCCAGACAGTTTGGTTTATATTTACTCTACGCCTGCATATTTTATAGAAACACAAGTTGCTGAAAAGTGTCTTCCACGTCTGCCTCGACGGTACATGGGCACATTTTGCCATGTGTCATGCAATTCAAGTGGGTCTTCTTGGCACCATACTGCATCACATCCGGAAACACACATGTCCCATACGTTCGACTCAAGACTTCTTGGCAATGTCGGTCGCGTTCACATGCAAAAAGCAGCGTAGCGTGATGTCCTCCCTCAACAGGTCCAATGAAGTTCTTGGCAGCGAACTCCAGGCACTTGACAGCCTGGGGATAACAGTGGCAGGGAATGTTGGAAGTGGACATTGACCTTTCTCATTTTTGGAAGTATGTGTAGCAAATGAGGATGGGACTGCTTCTGGACACCCAATTCCAGAAAAACATGTGGTCATGTCCCATCTCCACCTTCGAAGTTTTCTTTCGACTACATCTCGTCCAAACTGCACACAGAGTCTGGTCAAGAAGGCGTCAGCCCACTTGAATGCAGTGGAAATACTGCGAGGTCCCTTCGGATGGGTTGCATTCGGCTTCTCGATCTTGGTCTTGGGGTAGCACTTCCTAGATATCAACAAAATACTCAACAAACTAAGTCTACTGGAATAGGATGTAGGTTGGTGCAACACAGTCCTGTTTTGCACTCTGCGTTTACCAGTATTCTTCTTCGTGATGGTTTTCTGGACTGACCTGACAATCAGTGGAAAACACCCATCAAACATTGGATACTTTCCCAAACGAACTATGGAAGCCTGACAGGTGCTGCCAAAGCCATCTTCAACGCTTCACTGAGCTTCATGGTCCTGGGCTGCCGGGTTTGTTTTGGGGGTAGGCCTGTGATACCATAGAACTATATATAGACATGTTCCCCATACATACACTGTGGTAAAACATTCTGCTTCCAAGGGTCGAGGCCTACCCTTCGAGCTTTCCCCGGAGAGTTTGGCATCAATTGCTGAGAGCAGCACAGTACATGGTTTAGTAACACTTCGAACAACATTGTCCATGAGATTCAACGCACTTGCATTGCCCTTTTTGGTCACTGTGGTTGAATCCGCAACAGGCCTAAAGACCTTGTTGCCAGTTCACACATGGACTAGACTAGACAAACGTCATGCACCTATTGTGATTCATGCTTTGCTGGGATTCCTTCTAACAATCCCAGACCTTTGAAAATAA